AGGTTCCCTTGCCTCAAGATGGCATAGCCATGAATCACCACGGTGATCAAGTTAGCCAAGATGTGACTGAATCTTTAATTTTGTCAAGATTACATTCCTTAGCATTCCCTCACTAGTAAACAAGAAAATATTTAGCATGTGTTGTAATTATAGTGAATGGTGAGGAGGCATTGAAGATGATACGTTTTCAGTACTGGCTAAAATGTTCTCTCATTGGAAGCTGCACTTCCTCTGCTGGAAAACAAAGCTGGGGGATATTTTGGCCTTAAGCTCCTCTTGGCCCCAAGACCTACTACGCAATTTTCTTTAGCCCAGTCCTTGTGACAATGAAGCGATTCCTTGTGTTCCAGCTGCCCGCTGTGATCACGAGGCTTGTCAGGAGCATGTCCTCAACTTTATAGTTTCCCTTCCTAAACGTGAGGCTGAACGTGCTGTCGGTCAGTTTATTGGCAGAGGCTGCTGCTGAGCCCAGAGCAGTGCTCCTCCTCCAGCTGTGCTCCATCCTGGTCAACATCTGGGCTGCTGCAGGACGTGGGTTGCTCACCTTCCCCCCCCCCCCCAGCACATACGTGGTGGCACCAAGGCAGTCACTGGTGTTCTAGATCCGCTGCCCTTTCTTGCTGGGATTGAGCAGCCGCTATTGCCATGCTGACTAATTGGTGGGGACGAGGGGACTGGAATGCTCTGGGAAATAGGAGTTTCCCTCTTGGAAATGTCACAGGAAGCATGGAGGAAATCATGTGGTTCAGGAGCGGTTACCTCACTTTTCTGTCTCATCTGAACCAGCGCCCTTTCATCAAAGTATACAGAAGCTAAACAATGCAATGCCAGCTGGCTTATAAATAAACCATTTTCCATTTCCACACTGGGTATCAGGCTGACTTTTGATACCATGTGAGGAGAAAGGAAGAGCGTCACGTTGTGTTGGCTTGTGACCTTTCAGACTGACTACCCGGCTTCCTACCTGCTTGCTTCCCCTTGGTCTGCTGTCGTAGTTAATAACGCTTCCACATGCTCTGTTTCGGAGCACAGCCCAGAAATGGTCATCTTTGTACGCAGCCAGAGCTGTTAAGTATATATAATATAATTTCTCATATTCTCCTTGTCCTGCCAAAGCTGCTGAGGATTGCTAGCAAACAGATTATGGTGAAATACATCCAGAGTCGTTTTCTTTTGCCACTTTTTCTTCTCCCTGCCAGTCGTCCTGGTAAGATGGTACCATGAGCCTGTTAGTGGATGCATCTCCAGTAAGGAAAGAGCCTTAAATATCCTGTGGCTACTTTTGACTTTTGCTGATGGGCTCTAAAGGAAAACACCCAGTATCACTGGTTTTAAATAGCTCTGTCTGCATGGATGGGATAATGCAGGAGTCCTTTTCAATGTTCCTGCGGCTGAATCATGGAACATAAATGTCTGAGTCACTGGAGATGAATGTGGTGTTTCACGTTGGTGTGAACTGAAATGTGAACAACAGTGTTTTTATTAGAGGAGCTAATATTTCTGCTCATTATGGGTTTCATTAGATTTTCAAGTGAAACAATCTAGAATAGTTTCTTTTACAATGTATATAAACAGACTATTAACATGTGAATGCCAGGTTTTTAATGGGATGCTGGTCTGGATGAAGAGGAAAGCCATGTACCCCACTTCTTGAGCATTTACTGCCTGTAACCTGTTCTCTTGTTTAGTTTTAGCCATCTGACTCTCCTGAAAATCTGTTCTCTTGGTTACTGCATTTTTAGAAGAAAATATTGAAGAGACTATCAGCAATATCCCTTTTTGCTTTCCTGTAGAAAGCTTTTTGCTTTTCTAAGTTCTTCCTTCTCATAAAGGTCTCCACCTGTCCCTGAGGAGTAAAGCCTTTCCTCTGGTTTCTTCTGGTTGCTGTGCAGCTAAGTCAGATGACCCTTCTGCATTATGATGGGAATTTCGGACATTTGTTACTTGTCCGGGTTTGAAATGTAGATTTTCCTTTATCCTAGATACCGAACTGGATGAGGGCTGAGGTTTTGTCTCACTGCTGTTGGTAGAGCTGAAGCAACCTTGCTAGATGGGGTGCTAAACCCTGAGTGTTGGTGCTCTGTGCTCTTCACATGCTGCTGGTGGGGAACTTGGGCAGGTTGCGTTGTCCCATACCTTTCCCCTGCTGTGAAACAAAGCACTATGGATGGGAAGGGTTACTTAAGAGCAGCCATAGTTACTGTGCTCTTGTGCTTGGGCTGGAGTTGAGATGGGAATATTTTTTGTGTTGTGTCTGCTGGTGTGCAGAATTTGCACCTTTCTTTCCAGAGATGGAACTGAAGGATGGACTGGCAGGTTTTTCTGACCAGGAATCCACCTTGAAAGTAACAATGTTGGTGTTAGTTCTGGTTTGGATTTCTGCTGTTTTCTGCATTTCGCCAGCCCTCTTCTGGTGGGGCTTTTGTTCTTTCTACCCCAAAGAGGAGAGGGTTGTGGCTGATACTCCTAAAGGATGTTTGAAGTCCAAAGCCAGTTGCAATTTGAAATGCAGATTTGTATCTCTGCTCCTTGAGCACCACAGCTCTGCGCTTCAGAAGCAAATATTAATGCTTCTGGTACAAACTTGATTACAAGTGCCTTTGCCAAATAGTCTTGCTACTCTCTTCGTGATGGTTCATAAGGCCTGATCAGTGATACAGAAATGTGAAAGGGCTTTATTGTATGATTGGTTTTCACAGCCTAGTGTGGCACCAGAGCCTGAGTAACTGTCATGCATGCTCTTGGGCTACAGCTGCTGTGAGTTTAAATGCATTTGTTTAAATCTCTTTCATTAAAATTTAAGCTAATGTTTCATGTTTTACTAATGTAGAAATAAGGGGTCAGGCATGTGATTGTGCTGCTGTGCTTTAACAACCTACCGTGTGTCATCTGTTCAGCAGCAGAACTTTGTACACTCTTAATTCACAGCAAATGCAATATAAAATGCAGTAGTTTTAATCTCCTTGGAAGTCAGGCAAGTCTAGATGCAATGTTTAGCATTCTGTAGCATTTCCAGATGCAGGGATATTTTTTCCAGACCTTCTTCCAAGCTGGACAGCTGATTTACAGACTTGGAGAAGTCTTCCAGTATCTATCTCTGAACCTTGTGGGTCTTTGCCAGATGGCAGTGTATTTAAATGACTTTAAAATGGCTTTTTCTTTGTTTCAAAGCAAAGAGTCTTAAATGAGGTGGAGCATGCTTGTGAATCAGTATGCTAATTGCCCACAATGAAAATAAAAAGTATTTGGAGGACTGACTGCTGTGGCTGACCCGACAAACACAGGCTCCTCTTCTGAGCAGAGATGTCTGGTGGTGGGAGGCTGAGAAGAGCAACGCTTTCAGGAACGTCCATATGTTCTGAGCGAGGGAGGAGAGTGCTATTTGCTCCTCCGCCCCCGTGTATCTGCTGATCCCTTGCTCCTCCACCTGCTCCTGCTGCCCTGCTCTTGCTGTCCGTGGGGATGGTGGTCATCCGCTCGGCACGCAGGGGTTAAGGACGAGCAGGGTGCTGGTGCAGGTGGAGAAGGTGCAGAGGTGTCCTGCTTCCTCCCATGTTTTTTTTTTTTTTTTTACAGCTGTGCTTCAAAAGAGAGGAATGGATTTGCAAGTTGTCCGATGGCATGTCTAGTATGCTAGTAGAGGAGCCAAGAGCATCAACGTCTTCCAGGTGTGTTTGTGGCTTAGGTGGAGATTTATTAGATTTCAAAACTACCCCTTTCCCGTTCCTGGGGTGTGTTGGCTGCAGAACTGCCTCCCACTGCGACATGCGGTTGTGAATGGCAATCCCTGCCACAGCAAAGCGGGCGTTCGCTTTGGGTGTCTGTTCTGACTAATGTGCAGCATTGATTGTTCCCAGCTGCACCAGCCCAAATTGACAATCTCAGATTTTGTTGTTTCCTAGAATAGAAGATTTTTTTTCTACTGGGACTGCTGCAGTAGTGAGCTTGTCCTGAACTCTTCCTGGCTGCCTGAGCAATATTCAGCGATACTGAAGTACTGTGGCTGCTGGCCTGGCAAGGACAGGGACCTCAAGGGCTGCAGTGAATCTTGGTGTGGTTAAAACTGCTTTTTCCTGCAGCCCTTCCTACAGTGGGAGAGGGCAAACCTGGATGTGTCAGATGGGTTCAGGTTCCTGATTAGTCACTGGTGTGATGCTGCAGCAAATTCCTGTCTGTCTGTTTTTGAAAATTGTTTTTCCTTTTCCCCCGAGTTACAATTAAGCTTCTGAATGCTTAAAGGCTTTCCCACTCCTCTATGTTATGGTGTACAGGGGTTGGAAATGATCTGTAGATTCACTGAAGTCCTAATATAAATTTTGATGAAAAACTAAAGAATCCAAGCGGACATATATAAACTCTGGAGATCTTTGTTACTGTGATGCAAATGTTGAGGGGGATATTTGTTACCTTAACCACCAAGAGGTGACACACAAATAAAAAAATCAACTCTCACTTTCCTTGTTGAATTTAAATTTTCCTTTGTTAAATTTAATTTAACGAAGCAGACACACTCCCTGCTCCTACTTTCTTCCTGGTAACTTCAGTGGAGAGAGGAATTGCTACAAAATTGTATTTTCATTATATGTCTGGCTAGATGTATATCAGCTCAGGCACTCTTTGAAATTCTCTTTACTCTCAGGTTAGCGCAGCTCCTACAACAGTTAGAGTACCATGCTTTCTCATTCATGACCGCCTTGGTTTGTATTTTGCAGGCTCCGGTAGGCTATTACCTTCTTGATCCCATCTGGGATGTGAATCCCCTCCGTGCATTGGCGTGTGTGGCTTCTCCAAACCCTTCCTTGAGCAAAACGCCCCGGTCTCCCTCTCTCCTCTCTCCCAGCTTTTCTCTCTTCTTGCTAAACTTGATGCGAGGAAGGAGCGAGGGGTGTTGATGATTTGGATTATGCAGCTAAGTGGCTGGAGCGTGGCTGGCTGTCTCCTCCCCTTCCTGAGCTTTGGCCCTAGCTAGCTCGGCTCTGGAATGACAGGCATTCCTGCGTGAAGGGAGCTGGCACGGCCGCCTATTTATGAGATTCAAGTGCCTGGCCATGGGGTACGGGAAGAGCGGGACCCACGCTGGACTGTCGGACACCCATGCCATCGCCTGAGAGTTGGCAGCCGCCTCGCTTGCCGGGCTCTTTCCTAGTCCCAAGTGTGGATTTATCATTTTAAAGGACTAAAGTGCTCTCTCAGGGTCGACTTTTTTTTTTTTTTTCCTCCTCTCTCCCTCTCCCGCCTTCTCTTGGAGAGCTGCTTAGAAAAGAATCTAATGGGGCAGCCGCACTTCTCGAGACCGGTAAATCCAGCTGCTTTTGGTGAGTAATGGAGGGCAAGGGAGACGGAGGAAACTTTGGGGCTGAGGCAGGGCAGGATTGCAGGTGAAACGGAGGAGTTGGGAGGAGTGGAATGTGGAGCTTGTGTAACCTGTGCCCGGCTCAGGAGCTGGGAAATCAGAGAAATAACTCCATTTCCTTCCTTTATGTCACATGCAGTCGCTGTGCAACACGTTCTGCTGATCTTCCAACAGGCTCCGAGCTGCCGTTTTTAGGGATAGCCTCTGTCTTGCATGGCCAGGTTCAGGGACACTAGCTTTGCAAAGCGCTTGGACAGCGATAAAATTCACCTGAGTGGGGTAGGAGCCAGCCCCGATAGTCTGCGCAGAAATGCTTCCTTGTGTGTAATTCCACCCTGTCTTTTGGGGCATTTATATAGTTTTGGGGGGAGAAGGGGCTTAGCAGTCATCTTACTGCTTTGCTCTCCCTACTCTGCGAAGTATCGGAGTAACCGGCAGGCTGTAGCAAATACAACCTTGCTTTAAGTCCTGGAAGTAGTACTACTTCTAGAACGCTCTGTGTAGGTCGGTGTTATTTCCAGGTCTCTGTCTTAGATGCTGTTCCCAGTGCTGGAACTGCAATGCACTGACGATGAGGAGACTTTACGCATCGTGCTGTTCCCTTTTATCTCATACCGACTTGCTGTCAGCTGTCTGGGCTGAGTTAGTCTCATCTGTAAAGTGGAATTATCTGGTTTTTAGAGAAACACTTGACATTTGCACATGGAGAGCTCCCTGAGATACAGATCAATTTTTTCATTCTTTTTCACTTCTATAACTTTGAACCTACTACATATTTTTAGGTCTCTGATAATACCGGTGGTTCTCTCTTCCCCACGCCCAGTTCACTCCAGCTAGTCTTGTTCAAGAGCTGCTAAAAATAAGTGGTATTGAGAGAGTGGAAGGGAGAAGTAAAACTTCAGTCATCTTTGTACTGTCGATGGAGATTAACAGCATCTTCTCCCTGGATTTATGCTCTGTTAGAAGCTGACCTGTTCAGTCTTGGGCTCTTTCTCTCATCAAGCACCAGAGACAGTGGTAATTTCCAGGGGAGTGGGCTCACTTGGTTTAATGACATGTCCTTTGCCAGAGACTGGAGACCAGCAGACCTGGTGTTTCCTCAACTGGTCATTTGCCATTTGAGGTGATTTTTCATGGTATAGCTTGCATAGTTTCTACTGAATAAATCGTGAAGAGATGGTTCTTGCATTAACTTTGGCAGGATGCTGTTGAAAAGTCTTGTGAAGATTATAGTGATTAGAAATGTGCAGAAGACAGGGAAGCTGAAAGCTTGGGGCTATTTGAGTCTGTTTTGTGACCACAGCCTTTTATTGCTTTGAGGTCAGGATTCATGTCTTCCCTGGACCATTCAGGAAATGCACATGAAGTTTTTAAAGCTGTTACAGGAAGCTTAGAAACATTTACCTAAAGTGCTTTTTTGATACTTTAACAGCATTTCCCTCAAAAGAGTCTTTGTTTGCTTTTTGAGTTGTAGCTGTTTGCTTGAAAGCTGTTTGGGTTCTTAACTGCTCTGCACAACAAAGCTGAAGAGAGGAGGGAACTGAATTATTTTCCAGCCTGTGCATCAACACTGTTTTGGCAATGGGAGGGTTTATTAGCTGGTGAGGATCCCACACAGGCTCGTTGTTGTGAGGTGGTCGGTCCTGCTGTAGCCTTAGGTCCAGGCTGTCCTGCAAAACATGCTTCTGGAGGTACGGTGATGGTGGGTATGTAATGAGCAGCCACATCCTCAGCAGAAGTTCCTGATGAGCCTTCTGGGCTTGTGTGATAACAAAACTTCAGGTGTGTGTGTAACTTGGGAAAAGTAAAGATGATTAAGCAGAAGTGTTCAGAGTTGCTGCTGTGGCGTCGGAGTGCTTTTTAGTTCTCATCTAAGCGTTTACACTGTCTTTTGCTGTAGCAGTCTCACTGCTGCAGTTCTGTCTGGATGTGAGCCTTGAGGCTATGACTGAGAGACAGAAATGCCCAGTGAGCTCCTTATGAACAGAAACTCCTGGGATTTGTGGAAATCCTGTAGTAACGACTACAATAAGAGATGGATCAGGTTCTGGGTGAACTGTGGTTTGCAGATGGAAAGAATCTGGCTCAAGCTCATGATTTACACGCTATGCAAGTCTGGTTACAAAGCAAACTACTGATGCTTTCTCGTTTCCGTTTGAGGGTGACTCTTAATGAAGATAGAATTTAACAGATCTTACCTCTCTGAAAAGGACTGGCGCAAAGATCCTGTTGTAGTGCAGGCAGTGGTAGGACACATCTTTTGGAGTTAGTCTGCTCCACCAACTCTTGGATGTTAGCAGAGATATTTCAGGGAGAAAAGCAGCATGTTCTCAGTCTCTTCCTAATAGCTTCAGTCTGCAGTCCTGTCCTGGGGCTCACTGACCCTTCCTCCTTAAAGGATTGTGCCATTTTCTTCATGAACACTAGAAATCAGTAGTTTCCCTCCCAGGCATATAGCAATATAATATGAATTGTCAGCATCTAGGATGCAATTCTTTGATTTCTTCACTGCCTTCAGTCTTGCTTTGTTACGGTCTCTAATTTGGATCTTGAAGTGATTTTTTTTTTTTGTGTATGTAATGGTGTGCCAGTTAAAAACAAATTAAAACTTCTCCACAGCCATGCTGGCTTTTGATGGTGTGTGGCCCAAGCTACGATGGTTTAAAAATTCACCAGGACTATGTCTGCAATGATCTACACTTAATGTAGCTTGGTTTTAATTTTTTTTTAATAGTGTGCATCAGAGGTGCTGCTATCTCATGTACTGTTGCAGCTATCTTCCCTATGAGAGATGATCCTTATTGAAATAAATGCTTTTTGTTTATTTGTGTTGATACCTAAAGTTTCTACTGTTCCTTTTTCTAGGCTGGTAGTGCATTACTGTACAAAAGGGTATTTTGGGGCTCGATGTCTGGAGGTGAGGGTTAACTGTCTTTGCTCACCTGATGGCTTTTCCTCCCTTGGACCCACGGTGTGACCATTAAACCATTACATTTATATGTTGGCATTTCCTAAAGGTCAGCTAGATAGCTGCTTGCTGTCATGAGTGTCCTGTGTGCGTGGCAGTGGTGTGAACACGTGTGATATTTTTAATTGATCCCATGGGTCCTGGCTCTGCTGGTTTGACCCATCGAGAATAGTGGTAGACATGAAAGCTTTACCATTTTTAATAGCAATGGCAGCCCCAAGCCTGACCAAAGCTTTGGGAGCAGATAACACCTGCAGCACCGCAGCCACTTGCTGACTGTGTGATGAGCTTGAAGACCAGCTGTGAGACTCCAGCTTCTTCCACTGAAATGGTTTCTCTCCTCTGGAAAAAAACATCACAGCAGTAGATCAACACCACCCATGTTCTTGCACAACACTTTGCAGCTAACACAAGGTGCAGTGGGAGAAGAGCTTTTCTTCTGCCTGCGTTTTAACTGGAAGACTTGAGTGTAAATGTGTGTAGCAGGCTGCAGGGGGAGGGTTTGAAGGACCAGCTGGCCAGGCGTACCGATGGAGAATTGCATCCCTAGCTGCTTGGCACTGCTGGAGCTTTCTGCCTTCTTGTGTCTCCGGGCTGTGCCAATTTTGTGACGTTTCCCTAGACTATTTCAGTCTAAACATTTTGGGTTAACACAAATCTGCTGTTTAAACAGCTCAAATTCACCTGCTTGTTTTGATGGAAGGGGATCAGGACATGTTAAGTGTTTCAGAGGGAAGATCTGAAATGGCAGCAGGCTCTGGTAGGGAAGCTGGGATCTGGTGGCCAGGCCACAACTCCCTCCCCGACCAGCTGGGTCTGGGGGGGTCTGTCCAAGGCACGGCAGGTTGAGTGCTCCAGCCCGGCTACTCCAGGAGAAGGACCCACTCGTGCCTGGGGCGATGTGCAGAAGCTTCAGCAGGTGTTTTATTCAGGAGCCTTTCTCTGCCGGGGCCGTGTTGCAGGGCAGTGTGTGAGGCACGGTGTGCTGGTGCTGGGGTGGGCTCTGTGGGGCCCTCCCCACCTCAGGGTGGCTTTTCTAAAGTGGGTGCTTCATGTAGTTGTTGCAGGAAGGTTAAACAAAGCTGTGCTTTGGCATGGGGGCACATTAGGGACCTGCTTATTGGAAAGCTCTTGACCTTTTAATGAACACTCCCCTGGGTTCACCTGCATGACCTCATTTAACCTTTTTCATAAAAGTTAAATGGGTTTTCCAGCTTGGGACCACAGTGAGGGAGGGTGAGGCTGGTCTCTTGGACACAGGCTTGCCATGCAGGTAAAACAGCAGTGGTGTTGATCAAGAGCGGGGTTGGGTGAGGGCATCAGCTTCCTGACACTTCTCGCTCTTTATTTAACCTCTGGTTCATCTTTTTTTTTTTTTTTTTTCTGCCTGTTTTTTTTTCCCCAAGCACTGGGCTGTTGTTCCTTAGCAGTTCCCTAGTGAACGACTGGGATGAGGAGGGGTTTCTGCCTTGCATTGCAAAGCGGCTTAGGGACCCTCCTGTACCTTGTGGAGCAGAGCAAGAGCAGGCACAGAGAATCCACCTTGCTGAGGCTCCCTTCACAGTGAAGGCAGCTTGGGCAAGAAATGTCCTCTCCACCATTTCATGGAAATTGGAGCTGGAAATGGGCTGTAAATGGAAGGGAAGGTCCTTTTCTGAGGGAGTATGAGTACTATCTAATGTGAACAATCACTGAACAATGAGGTTATTTAAAATACAGATCAGTAAAGCACACCTACAGCTGCTGATCCACCCGCTAATTAGCAGTAAATGTAATTCATAATTGCATCACAACAGACTGTTTTAAATGTCTGTGTCTATGTGGTAATTATGGATGGCAAAAGGAAGAGTGCTGTGGAAGGGCATTACAAGCTCTTCTGTGAGCAGCAGCCTGTGCTGCAGAGCCGGACAGAATTAATCCTATTTTGTATTGGCGAGGGAAATTGCTTTCATGGCATCAGTATTGCCTGGTGGGCTGTAGTGATCTCAGGGTGTTCACACTGTTTAATAATGTGTATCAAGCTTTATTCTACACAGAGCAAAAGGGATGGTGAAAATGATGTTGACTGCAGTTTTATGCTATGGAGGGATACATGGTGTGCCTGTCTCCCTCTCTTGCCAGGCTGTTTTTAGATGTGGAACTGATTATAAAGCAGCAAAACCGAGTGTTTTCATGTTAGACAACGATGCACAGCACAAGCCTACGAGCAGTTGGTAGCATGGCTGATGGAGTAACATGGCAGAGGAGCGAGAATTGAGTTATTCGATATCAATGCTGAATGTCATTGTGAAACCTAGCTTTTGTGTTAACCTGCAGGATTGCAATTAATGGCAGTCAGGCACCTGGTGTGAAACTCCACCCTGAGATGGTATTTGATTTGACAGCCAGACCTGGACTGCAGAAGCTGCTGAAAGAGGTTCTTCCTCCTGAAGTAAAACTCGCATGTGGGCTCTCCCCGACACTCCCTGCTTTTAGCTGGTCCTGCTTTGGGGATATCGTGTGTCCCCTGCAGTTTCGGCTCATCCTTTCACATCCACTGTTCCTCTGTAGCTGCTCAGAGGTGACTGTGCTGGGGGAATGCTTGTCGTTCTTCCTCTAATTGGAAATGGAGACATTGCAGCTTGCTGAGGTCTCCATTCATTAATCCGTGGTTGAGTTTTCTTTTAATAACTTATTTTGCTTAGTGCAGCACTCTGACACCTTGGGTGGCAGACAGCACATAAGTTACATTCCTAAGAGCAGTTCAGGGAAGGGATATGTATGAAGTGAGCTTGGTATGACTGCCTTCAGCGCTGGTACTGCTCCTTGGAAAGGGGAGGAAAATGCCTTTGTGTGGCACTTGGGATCCAAATCCAGCCCACAGCTTGTGCCTGGCAAGCGGTCTTGCCTGCCTGGTAAACTTTGGGAATGCTCTATTGAACAAAGTGAATACTGCTTTTTAAAATTACATGTACAACTCCAGGGCTAATGTTCTAGTCTCTGAAGAAAGTGCCTCTAAACATCCAGACAATTCATCTTGGGTTTCTGGGAGCTTGAAATGCCTTTTTTTTTTTTTTTTTTGTGTCCGTTCTTCTATCCACCCTCCCTCCCAGGAGAAAATCACAGATCAGTGCTGACATCTTGTATGTTACTTTCCACCCAATTTCTCTCCTGTTATGAAGCCAGATTTTTTTTAAGCAGCAGCTCAGATGCTGAATTGATCTTGTTTTTTCAAATAAATGTTGGCTGGCATAAGCTTTTCACTGGTCCTGAGTAAGCTTTCTGTTAGGGGACTGATTTAAAAAAACAAGATACAACCAATAACCGAACAGACAAACCCCATCAACCACCACTGTGTGAAATCTGGAGTCCTGTGAGTGAGAGGAGAGAAACCTGTGCAGAGCTGGAAGAGTCAGGCATTTTAGGCAGAGTCTAAAATGGCCACAATCAGCTTTGAAAATAATTTTTTTGTGCTGGTTAGCACAGTGGCACTTCCTTGCTACTCCAGCCACTTTGTAAACCTGAGTTGTGGGCTAGTTTTCTTCATCATTTGGTTAAAGAGCGTGTAATCTAGATCTTCCTACTGGAATACTCTCTGGCTTCCATTATGCTGCTAGCATGGTCTCTGTTCTTGTCTTTGTTATTCAGTGATCTTCCACTTCATTTGTGCTCAGACTGAAAACTTGGGGTCTGTCTGTCCTGCAGTGTTGCACAGTGACAGCCTGTCCCCAGCCCAGCCGCCTGAGCCTGCTTGGGAGCCCGTGGCTGGGGCTCCTCGTGCTCTATGTTTGCTGGGGTCTGAAATCTCAAATCTCGTGCTAGGAATCACGACAGGGTTGCAGGTAGAGCTCCAACAACAAACAACTAATTTTTTTCCTGTTTGTTTTTTTTATCCCCATCACAAATCTACTCTTCCCCATGCTGACAAGTATCAGCTTTTTAACATCTGGATCTGTATCCTTGATGGATATATTTGTAGGATATGGCAGATATGTTATTAGCTCCTTGACCTATGTGCAAAATGACTTTCCCCTAAAATTCCTTTCCCAATCTCTTAGCCTCAGGAGATGGGATTCTTGGCTGAACTTTCTGCATGGCCTATGGGGTATTGTCTTTTCTGCAGGCACGTCATACAGGCTTCTCTGAAGTTGACTAAAAGGTCTTTTGTGATCCCAGAAGACTTGCAAACTCCAGAACGTTTGTCTTGGAGGCTCAAAAATAAAAGACGCGCAAGTGCGGTTTGTAACGCGGCACCTCAGCCTGTGGTATGTGGTGTTTGGCAGGACGGCATCGCAGGACTGTAGGAAATCTCAAGGCTCTGTTCTCAGTACTGCATGTTTTCATGGAGTTCTGCAACGCAGCTTGGGTGCTCCTGTCTTGCAGTGCTGAAGACAAGGGATTCTTGGTCTGTAGATTAAGACCATGAAGCAGGTCACCAGCCGGCTTCACTTAGGTTGTGTGCACTCCAATTATTTTTTTTTTTTTTTTTTTTGCAGGCATTGCTAGATTCTGCTGATTGTAAGTGTTCCCTTATGTTTCGTCAAATACCCAGAAAACAGCAACACCAGGCAAGCCAGAATTGACAGTCACCAGCTTAGTGTTTCATGCTCTGGTTCTGCTTTGCAAGTTGTTTCTTTATGAGCTTTTTTGTTGCAGCAAGTTGGAGGGTTTTTGTGTGTCCCTTTCCACCGCCATGTCCTTTTTGTGTTGTTCTCCAGAGACTTCGAGTACAGTAGGTGGAGCACAGGCCTGTATTGTGTTGCTTTCCTGTGTAGTTGTTGCTCTTGGCCAGCTTTGCTGGCCTTATTTATAGAGGGGAAAATCAGAGAAGCTAAATTCTAGCACATACAGCTGTTGTAATGGGTCTGGTAATTTCAGTGTGTGTAGACAGTCATGAAAGTAGTCTGGAAGGTATTTGTGTTCATGTAGTTACTTGTGTCTAGCACCAGTTGCTTCCAACTGAAGATGAGAAACTGCAGCAAAATGATTTGTGTTCCCTGGGCAAAGCTGTGACACTGCAAATTTAAACTAATCCTTGTTTCATTAGAAAGCCTCTTACGGGTTGCACTGTTAACATTGGAAACCCCACTCTTGTCTCCCCAAGCTAATGTGAAACGCGGACGGGTTACGTGAAGGCATGGAGTCTTGCTACCTTCTTTGCATGAACGTGCACCACCATTTCCCAGTGTGCAAGGGGCAGGCTGGTGGGAGATGGAAGCTGTTTGCAGCACAAAGGTAACTTCTTTATTCTTTTCTGTGCAGCTGAAGAGGTGGATCACCCCCCAACTGATGCCGGCATGGGGGTGGATGTTTTGGAACTGGGTGACACCACGCCACCTACAAAGAGGAAAAGCAAGTTCTCAAGCTTTGGCAAGATCTTCAAACCCTGGAAGTGGAGGAAAAAGAAAAGCAGTGACAAATTTAAGGAGACTTCAGAAGGTAGAGTAATTGGGACCGGGTGGGAGTCCCTCCCTTCCTGCCATTAGCCATCTGGCTAGCGGGAAGGGCTTGCTGTCTCATGCTTGAGTGCTGGCACGCGTAAGAACCAAAATGTGACTTTGGTGATGGGCTGGCACCTGCAATCTCTCCAGAAACACCTCGCCATGGAGCAGTAGTTTCAGACAAATTCCTTTCTTGCAAGGAACCTCCCCAAGCAGCTTTGGGAGGAAGGGTTAGCTCCACAATCACCAATGTAGTGTGAAGTGCAGGCCTGAACGTGCAGTCCCTCCTCCCTTCTCTTAATCCATGCAAAACCAGTGAAATTTGAAGCCCTTTTATTTCCTCCAGAGGATCCCTTTAAAAAAGTATCATCTCGAACTTCCAGTTTACCCTGTTTTCTGAGTGCTTTTTTTCAATTTAATATCAGTTTTAGAACGAAAGATTTCTATGCGAAAGCCAAGAGAGGAGCTGGTAAAAAGAGGGGTTCTGTTGGAAGACCCTGAGCAGGGTGAGTCTGCAAATGAACTTCTCCTCCTGTCTGTGTTCTGTGTAGCTGATCTTCCTCTGGCAAAACCTCACCCTTGGAGCCACTCTTTTGGGAGAAAAATTGAAAGGCTCTCTGCTAATGTGGTTCCTGTCTGTTTGTCTTGTGCTTTTCAATATGCTCTCTCGTCTGACTTTTGCACCTGCCAGGAAAGGCAGCCTGTTCAGCCAGGAAGATGTTGCTAGGAAAGCGCAATGCCTGTCTTGGACATCTTCCTGTCTGCTGCCAGCGGGGAGGGGTGTTCTGTGTGTCATTGCCTATCCTGTCCCTCTTGTACGTGTCCTGCTCCAGCCACTTTGTCTTGTCCTGCTAAGCTGCTCTGTCACACTTGCACTCACCATCTCCAGCTTGTTCTGGTCACGCTCCAGACTGCACTGTAACCACCCCAGGAGAGGCGCTGGCCTTGGAGCTCAGGCTTGGAAAAATAAGTAAATTTATGACCTTTGAGCTGCCTGGGTAGGGGCATTTCCTCAAGGAGTTATAAATGAGATGCTTCATGGTACGGTGTCAGTCACAGCTAAGCTTACTGAAGCTTGCCCTGCTGTCAAAGAAGTCTTATCCCCTTTTCTGTCATCCCTGATGTCTCTGAGTTGAGGCCACCCTGCCAAAATAACTTCTCAGCCAGATCAGTTCATCACCTAGTCACCTGGCTGTGTGTTGGGTGATGTGGGTACAGGGGAGGGGTCAGGAACATGTGGTGGGATGGCAGTCCACCTCTCTGGGTAGCAACGTGGTCTTTGGCTTAGAGCAATGTATAATTGCACCTCAAAAGACATATTCAGAGGCAGCCTTAACTTAATGCAAATTTCAGGGTTCTCCTAAGGTGCAAAGTGGAAAAGTGGAGGTGAAAAAGTGGTTTTCAGACCAAACCACTGAAAGCAAAACGGAGAGGAAAAGTCTTAACACAGTTACTGGCTTTCTACACAGTGTAGCTGCAATCTATGACTACCCCAGGGTGCAAATGCCGGGCTGGAGGAAGAGTTCACTGAGGTACAAAAGTGTATGAGGTCACAGGATGAAACTGTGGAGGAGAGATCAAAGGCTTTGGGTAACAAACTTCCAACTAGAGATGGAGAGATCTTCCAAGCTGTAAGGGTGTAACAGAAGCGTGGCTAAGAGATGGAATTATTTTCTACTTTGAGTCATCTGATCTGGTTTAAGAAACAGAAGATGGCTATAATCTGGACAAAGTGCAAACCCAAGGTATGAGGGAGCAGTCAGTTATTGTCAGGAGGGTTAGATTAGAAAGCGCATTATCTTAATCCCTTCTATGAGTTTAAGGTACTTGGCCAGTCATAAGATGGTAGTGATAGGTTATTGTATTTGCTTGCAATTTTAAAACCTGCTCTTTACAAGGCCAGTTAATTTTCTTAGGCAATTTCTTAGGGGAAAAAAATGCTGGAAATCCTTTGAGATGAGTAAGTGAGGAAGTAGGAAAGAAGTACAGCAGAGGCTCTCAAAGCTGGCACAGCCGGGAGAGGAGGCCCTGCTGCTCTCTGAGCTGGCAGTCAGCAGGTTGTGCTGGGCTCACAGTAAGGAGAGAAGATAGTGTTGGACTGCCTTGACCTTGAAGGAGGTCACTGGAACTGAAGGCAGGAGTGAGGTGGTGTGAGAAGGCCATCGGGAGCGTTCTGTGTGTGCTCCCTGCCAGAGGAGGGCATGCAAGGTTTGAATGGTAAGGAAAGCTAGATCATACTGTTCCTATCCTTGCTAAAAACTTCAGCTCGCCAGGGGCAATTGCTGCTATAAAAAGCTCTGGCTCATCTCTTGAGTTTCAGCCCTGGCTGGGGAGGAAACTCCCTCTTGTTGCTGTCTGTACTTCCTGCGTTTCAGGGAAGGGCAGCTGAGCAAGTGAGGCAGCGCAGTCTTCCATCTCCTCTCAGGAACCAAGGCCATTTTATGCAGAAAAAGCCCAGGGAGCTTTTGACTTCTTGGCATCTTTGCTTTCAGCTTCTGAATAACACCCAAGTTAGGAAAGGGGAGGTAATACCTTGGCGAGGAGGAGAGGAAAAGCGAAGAGGGCAGTGGAATAAATCATCAAAAATCAGAGCAACAGAACATGCTGGGGTCTGACACCAGCGGGGCCTGTGGTGCCATACGCAGCAATTGCTTGAGAGATGGTAGACTGAAAATGCTAAGGCTTTTAAATCAAATTGGTGATGTATTAGGTCAAGTTTTCTTCAGTTGGAAAGCAGTCAAAATGGGCAATGCCCCATTAAAGTGGGTGCTAAGTCCAATTTTGGAATTATTATTATTATTAAGAGTTTGTCCTGTCAGAGCAATTACAGAGGCAGAGAATGGCTGAGTATTTCCTTATTGTGACTAGAACTTTAAGTGCTCTCAAGAGCATGGGCTTAAAGAGGATTTTTTTTTTTCTTGGTCAAAAGAGGTCTTGCATCTAACATTTGTGAAGCTCCATGCTAGAATCTGTAAAAGCAGAAATAGTCAAGATGAACTACATCAGATTCTGGAGATATATCATTACATCTGATTAAAACAAAGGTAAAGTAAGGAAATACGCCTTGCTGTGGGATGTTTTGGGTAGAGTAGTGGTTTTGGTGCCAAATTCAGGGTAGAAACAGGAGGAAAATAGAGGTGCTTCGACTAATTTTATGACTTTATTAAAATCTGTTATTGCATGTCCAGTAGATTATTTGGCTAGTGTTGGAATTTGTATTGCAGCAGAGAATTTGTGAATGCTCTGTAATGGTGAGTTAGATACAAAAGCTGCTGGAGGTTTTTAACTGCAATTGCAACTTTCTTGGGCTGTGGCACAACATTGGGCGGGCTAGTCTTAAATGCCATAGCATTCTTTCTAAACAAGGTGGTAGATTAAGAGGCTGCTGAAGAAAAACACTTGATGGGATACGGTGCTGTACTGCTTTGCTTGTTGATATCAAGGGTGCTCAGCCTCAGCTAGTTGGTGTTGCTGTCAGCTCCTCTGCAGAAGGTAGAATGAAGACCAGCTGTTTCAGAAGCCAGAGAGAATTTGATGTGGATCGATGGCGGTTCAGTCAGCTCAGCCGTATCTCCTTCTTCTCCTGCTTTCTGAGTGTGTTCTGTTTGCTTCTCTCCCCTCCCGTCCCCTTGCAGACGGTGAAGAACCAGACAAGCTGAACCCACCTGCACTGAAGAATGGCCACACAGTTCCAATCGGTGGTCCTGGGGTTTGCAACCTGGCCAGCCAGGAAGAAGAGGCTACAAAGTCATCCAGAAAGCCTGTTCCAGCTGAGGAACCAAAGAAAAGGCAGGGTAAGAAAACAGATGTGTGCAAAAAGCTGTTGCTTCAGATTCTTCCAGAACCAGTTTTGAATTTTTCATGATTCTTTCCACTCCAGTCTCTTAAACAGAGCTGTCTCACTCCACAGGCTCCTCTAGCAGCCACTCTGGGCCTGAACTGGAACCACCTCAGGAGCCGTATGTTCCCAGACAGCCTCTGCTTCCTCCAAAAAGACCTCCCTCCACTTCCCAGGAGGCGAATGAAGCACAGGGGAAGGATCCAACGCCTGCCAGCAGCACTGCAAAAACTGCACCCTCCACCACAGCCCCTGTTGCAACAAAGACAGTCAATTCCTCAGCTGCCCCTTCCCCAGCCCCCAGGACTCTGCCCCCTGCTCTTGCCAGTGCCAACACTACCACTCCCACGAGTACAACCAGCACAGCTCCTGCCAAACAGCCTCCCATCCCTCCTCCCAAACCTGTCAACAGAAATAGCAACTCAGTAATAGGTAAGTGCTTCCACGAGCTGATTTTTGTACCCTGGGATGTTCAGGAGCCCTTGCTCTGAGGCTCTCTTCCCTTTGTAAGGGAAGATTTTTAGTATGATGTAGCAAATGTTGTATTATGAATACCTGACCATCTTTCCTGAATACAGTCCAGTTTGGACTCAGAAGATCTGCCAGTGTTTAGCCAGGGCACACGTGTGCTGAGAGCAATGTAATTACTGGAGTCTTCTCTCACGAGCCATCCAATCTGTCAGACGTGCGTGTTTGCAGCATCTACCTGCAGGAGGGAATCCCTGCCTGCTTTTGGCAGGAGTGGTGATGGTGCAAGGAGAAGGGAGGGCATTTCTCTGGGATTCAGCTGTGGACGGCCAGGATTGGGATTGGTGGATGGCGTATGAGATTTTGGCTTTGTGAGACTATGGTCAGTGAGAATTGATGCTTTCAGCTGGTCTTTTGAGGGGGAAAAATCCACATCACACCCAAACAATGTCTGTTATGGCTGTCATTGCTGGGCTGTGTGGTTTCCACTTAATGCAGAGTGGCTGGGAACTGGCAGGGATAATTCAGACTTCCCTGGTTATACTCTGGCACCTTCTCAAAGGTCTGTGGCTAGGGTATTGCCATATTAGTCTTGTCCTTAAGTCTTGTCCCATGGATAAATCAGCTCAGCTGTAATTTGATCTGACTCTTCCCACTTAATTAAATGTCTTTATCTCTGTAACTTTTCTGAGCAGATCATCTGAGGAGAGTTTCTTAAAGCTGAATGAGTTCTTGCTCTCTTTAGGATTTTGAGAGGTCTTAAAGATGCAACATTGCTGGAGTAAATGAGACAACTTCCATCCAGTCGATGGCCTGTTCGTATTTCACAGACCACCTGCTAATCTTTGGATTGGATTAGCAGAGGCTAATACTGATCAGGAGGGAGGTTCCTGGAAGATCAATCAGACAGGTCTGCACTGCTATCACAGAAACTGGGGGCGTTACCCAGATGTGGTTTGGGAGGTGGTGGTAGAAGCTTAGATCCTGTGCAAGTTACTATCTGAAGGAGCCTGGGCCACTGCTTTCAGTAGGAACTGCATCTCTGCTCTGCTCAGGACTTCTTGCTCTAGCAGGTTTTGCAAGCAACCTTGATATGGTATTAAACCCTCCTGTATGCCAGACTAGCTTGATTAGTCTGACCATGCCTAAGCACTTGATGAAATACTTTCTTGTTTTCCTTAAGCTGCTTGCACACATCATGGATGGTATTTGAAATGCCCCAGCGCTAATTGCAGGAGGTACTTGTGGATCAAAAAATGTGGCTGGAGACAGCAGTATCAAATGTGTGTTCAGACCCAGGCCGCCTCTCTCCATGCAGGGCCAAGCCCAGTGCACCTACAGCTCCAGGGGTGTGGAGGGGAGGCGAGGAGAGCAGCCGGCCCCTCTTTTGTCTCCTGGGTGAGAACGCAGATGCAGAGAGGCTTTGCAGCGCTCTGCCCGGCCGCGCATCTGGCGCGAAGGAGCTGGAACTGCCGCATGCCCGCAGTCCTTGCTGTTCGAGCTGTGCTCTGTTGCTGTGGGTAAACAGCAATGGTGGAATTAGCTTGCGAGCTCTTCACAGGTCTTTGATGCACCCTCCCATGCGTGCTCTGACTCAGGTGCGCTTTTGTGCTGCTGTTATAACCTAAGGCAGGGGAGGACTGTTAATGTGCAGATCACCCCTTTGTGCCCTCTTGAAGTTGGTCACTTATGCTCATTCTCTGAGCAGTTCTGGCATGTCTGATGCAGTACCTGAGAATAAGGCTCAGGAAACACTTGCTTTTGGGGAGTGGGAATTTAATCAGCATCGGTTTGAAAAAGCAGGGGGGTGGGGGGTGGGGGGCAAATGCTGCTGTCCTGCTGGCCCTGAGCTTGGCAGCAGCCCTGGTGCTTGGTGCTGCTGACGGGTTTCGGGAGCCACGGGTGCTGTAGCCTGTGCTAGAGCACCGGGTCTGGCCGCGGTGGCATGACACAAGAGGTTGTGCTAGTTGGTGTGCTGGATTTATTGCAGTGAAGGCAGACGGGCTGGCTCGGGAGGATGCTCTGAGCAGCACCCAGCCCTTTTCTGGTTCTTCTTTTTGCCACTGCTTCGTCCCTTTCGAGATCAGGCGATTTGAGCCTGGTCCTGCCAGGCTTCGACCACCTCTGAGGAGATACTGGAATCCCTCTGGGATAGGTTGATGGGAGCTGAGGGCACTCGGTGTTTTGCACAATCTGTCCCTTAATCTACAAGGGGAAAGTCTGAAAATGCTAAACATCCCAAAAATGCACCCACCTCTCTCCAGTTACGCAGCCGTATCTCAGTGAAGCACTCCCTGCTTGCAGCACCCTCTTGTGGTGTCTGGTCCGGTGGATTCCTCCCAGCTCTGTACTGGGGCCGCAGCTGTGTCCCCATCGCCCGCTCCAGCTGAAGCGCGCAGTAAATCTGGTCCTCTTCTAGCAGGTGGGCAAAATCTTTCTGAGCCCAAGGAACCATTGATACATGAATGTTAAAGGCTACAAACTCCTAAAGCAAGAGCAGTCTTCACTGCTGTAACTTCTTCCCTAGGAAACGAGGGGTGTGTGAGGAACTTGAGATTGCTGCAGGCGTGTCCAAATGGACACAGTTCCCATCTCTCCCTCTTCCATCACACAGCAGATATAAACTATGTAGACTCAAGGCTTTAAAGGTATTTTGGGAAGTTTTGCCAGTTATTTTGTAGTTGCAGAGAATTTTATATGGGGCTTCAGAAACAGAGTGCAGAGGGAGTAGAACAGAGCTTCACGCTGAAAGAGGCAGGAGCTGCTGGCAGCAAGGTGTTCTTGGGCTGGGTCTGGCAGATGAATGGAAATGGGGAGAGCACATTGCTGCTTGCAATTCTGCTGACTTTTGCATTTGAGACTTCCCCAAAAGTTTTTTAATGTGCAAGGGAGCTGTTAACACAACTGGAGTCTGGGGTGTCCTGGATGTCTCAGATTCCTTTGTAAACTGATGCTGTAAATATAGCCATAAAGTGTCCTACATACCTGCATTCCTTGGCTGAGGCAGCCTGCTTGGTCTGGGTGAGCTCCATCTGCTGACACTTGAGGGCTGGTGCTGTTTCTCTGTCTCCAAAGCAGCAGGATGCACAAACGTCTCCCAGCCTGCTTGTTTCTGGCTGCTCTCCCAAGTCTTACCTTTGCTGCAGGAAGGACAAACTAGAGGCTTGCAACCTGGTTATTTCTGGCACTGTGTTCTAGCAGAAAAGCAGCAGAGATTGCTTGGTCCATGGTTTGCCATGCTTATTCCACACTGGTGAAGGATATCTGGAAAATGTCCTGTTAAATATAGTGGCTTTTGCGGTTTTTATTTTCAGCTGAACTTTCTCAAGCAATGAACAGTGGTACAGGCTTGTCCAAACCTTCCCCTCCGCTCCCGCCGAAGAGAGGCCTCCTGCCTAACAACACGTCAGAGGCAGCTATCGCTTCCAAGCCCCCGAACGACAGGACAGTGGCAGCTAACCGCCCCGCACTCATACCGATGCACATCACCTCTGCTTACCCACCGCCCTCGCCTTCGCCGCCGCTGCCCACACACATTCCCCCCGAGCCTCCGCGCATGCCCTTGCCTGCCTCCACCCCTGCCTTGGACCCTCCGCGCTCCCTGGACCCACCCAAAGAGACTCCTCCTGTTCCCGAAGACTTCAGGTCCTTGGAAGTGGCGAAGAGGACAGCAGAGCAAGGGTTTGGCGAACCTCACGCGCTGCCTCGCCTACCCCAAATCCCGTTGCACATCCGTATCCAGCAGGCTCTGGCCAGTCCTCTGCCTGTCACCCCGCCTGCCGAGGGGTCACACAGGGCTCACTCGCTGCTCTTCGAGAACGATGGCTTTGGAGAGGACAGTGGCACCCTGGGCAGGACGAGGTCCCTGCCTGTCACCATTGAGATGCTGAAAGTGTGAGTACCTGCTGTACCCGCGTGCAGTAAACAGCTGGCGGTGGGGTGGGTCACACTGGGCTCTGGCACGTCGGGGTCGTACTCCCTGCTTCTGCGAGGCTGTGATGGTGAGGAGAGCTGTGGGCAGGGCTGGTTTCCTGGCTGTTTTTTTGAACCAGCCTAGAAACCATTTTGTCTGTTGGCTAAATCTGTGTTTCAGCCTCTTAGGGGGCCAGTGCATCATCCCTATGAAATTAACCCTGGTTCTGGAATTTTATTGCTCACAGAGGAAAATGGGTTCCAGACTACAAACACAGGCCAATGCCAGGAACCCAGGCCTGCCTTTATTTGCACCAAGACAAAACAAAGTCCTGGATTTCATCCTTTTGTGGCCTTCCTCAGCCTTTCGTTTTGCAAAACAGAAGTGGGAAAAGGACAGTCTTGTAATATAAGAGTTGAACCTGCAAGTCCCAAAGTAGGCGGGTGAGAGGGCTGTTTGGTTCTACAGAGAACCTGCCTCTGGCATTTCCTCTGCCAGAGCTCCCTGTGCTTTGGAGAGAGGGGACAGTGCAGGATTGTGGGGCTGCACTTGGATCTCTGGTTCCTGGGCTACCCACAGACCTGCCTTCTGTGGGCTGACAAGGTGTTCATCTCGGGATTACTCCCCCAGTCCCTGTGGCATGTGTTAAGAGATGTAATAGTATGCTTCTCGTTAGTCCAGACGATGAGGAAGAGGAAGATGACCAGGAAGAGGAGCAGAATTCGGGCCCTCGTGTGTATATTGGAGATGTGCCATCTGTCACAGTCATCCCCAAACTGGTACCCCACGTCCTGCCAGAGGAGCAGGAAGGAGATGAAGGGATGAGCGACTCTGACTCAGAAGGGCCCATCCTGTACAAAGATGACGAGGATGAGGAAGAAGATGAAAGCCATAACAGTAAGGCTTTGACATTGCAGCTGGCTTTTTTTTTCCTCTGCTGAACTCGTGCCTGGCTGTATTGAGATCTGGATCAAAGAGCTAGTTCACACAGTGCTTCAAAGCAGCTGGTTCTTGGTTTCATGATGTACCACATGTCCTCTTCCTCGCTTTTTCAAAGGCTCTACAGCCAAACCGATATGCTCATCTGCTGAGATGCACACCCCCCCCCCCTCCAGTTGCAGATGGCTCCTGCAACAGCTCGTGCTGTCCCACCCCTTCAGGTGGGATAGCGTTAGGTGAGCAGGTGGGCATCACGCAGAAATGCTGGCGGCTGCCGTAGTGACTAGCTCCAGAGCTGTAGTGCAGAGCTTGGAAAGCAAACCTCAGGGGAGAGCACAACTGCCAGGGGCACGTGGCTCGTATCGCTGTGCTCGGGCACTGCAGTCTTCAGTCACATCCCGCTGCTCTTCCTCCCCACAGGCACGTTGGCTAACAAAGTGAAAAGGAAAGACACGCTAGCTATAAAGCTGGGGAACACAACCACGCCGCAGGAGGAGAAGATTGTCTTTCCTCGGAAGAGCAAGGAGGAGTGGAACGAAATTCGGCACCAGATTGGGACGACGCTGATCAGGTACGAAGAATGGAGGGGAGGGTGTTACGTTTGAGCCCTTGGCACAGCGGGTGTCAGGTGGCAATGGACAAAGCTGTTGCCTTTTCTGAGCAGCCAGTGCTGGAATATGATGGGTGGTTGGGCACTGCTGCTGGATCAGGGCTGGGAGACAGTGGTGCTTTTCCTCCTTGGTTATAAAAGTTGGAAGTTCCTCCTGGAGTTGAGCAACATCCCCTGACAGGCCCCTGTTTCCAGGGGTTAAATGGAAAGGGAGGGGAAACTCTCAAGGGCTACAGAAACGTTACTGCCATATAATACAGACGGCGTATAAAGATGTGGATAGATGCAGGCTGAGTGCTGATGCATTAGGTGGTGAATTAAGCTTCGGCTGCTGAGGGTCCAGGCTCTGCCATCTCCTTGAGCTCCCTGCAAAGTTCCCTCTGGGCTTTTAAGAGACCTTAGCGCTTTCCAAACCCGGGCTGTAGCCCTTTCCAAACCTGTGCCTGGGGGTGAAGAGCTGTTTGAGTGGAAGAGAGTGCAAAACAGGGCAGTAGTGATCCTCACTGGTGAATGAGGGGTGTCAAGGAGGCTTCCCAGTGCACTGAAAGGAAGCAATTGTACTCTTCATCCCCTCCTGATGAGAGACCAAATAAAACATTACACGCTTGTCACGCTTTTCTTTAGGCGACTGAGTCAGAGACCGACAGCAGAAGAACTGGAGCAGAGGAACATACTTCAACGTGAGTAATGCGTCTCTAGTGGTCCTAAGTAATAAAATAAGTTTGCCTTTAATATTGTAGTCCAGGTGTACTGGAAGTACTGGTAGTAATGGAGGACTGTGCTTTGGTAAAACTAGTAAAGCAGTTCCACTATTTTTTCCCAGTACTTTGTTACCATCAGAAACTGGCTCTGGGTAAAATCAGACCTTAGCAGTAGTACCAAGCAATAGAGTTCAAAGCATCATATTATAGAAAAGCTCCTGACACCTCAGGGAAAGGTACGTGAACTGGTTAAGACTGATGTTACACAGCAAGGACTGTTAAAGCTGGTTTTGTTTGGGCTGGACTTTAATTTGTGGTCCAGACATTACAGCATTGTATTGCATGATCCAAAAAGCAGCAGTTCGTTGATCAGTCAGTGATGTTTCTCTTGGCCATACCATGCTCTGCGAAGAATTTTAAATAAACATCTTGAGGAAAGGGAAATGTCAGTTCAGGAAGTTTCCATTTAAAATATTTATCTGTGCTGTTATTCTCTTTAAAGTATAATAGCTTTGGGGGAGAGCAATCTGCAAAGCGGCCTGGATGTATTTTGACAATATGGCCATTAATCTTTAACATACACAGGGCAGAAGAGAATGACTCACTCGTGCTGTGTAAAGACCCATCTTGCCACTGTCGGTCAGGGGTGCTTGGTGAGGTACTGCGATGGACTGTGCTCTCTGCCTGCAATAAGTGCACGCACGCCACAGTGAGCTTTCAGATATGTAGATAATCTGATAGAGCTCCATACTCTCCTTTGTTCAAGCCCAGAAAGCACTTTTCAAAGCCTGTGATGCTTACAGGAATTTTTTTTTTTTTTTTTTTCCGCCCCCCCCTCCCCGCCTTGGCAGCGAAAAATGAAGCTGACCGTCAAGCTGAGAAGCGAGAGATCAAACGCAGGCTCACCAGAAAGGTACTGCTGGCCTCCGTGCTGTGACGGCCATCTGGCAGCACTGTCGGGGATGGTGGTGGCTATGAGCACATCGTAGGTACCTTGCTGTGGGTGAAGTCATGGGGCTATTGTGTAAGTGTCCCCAGTGCCCTCTGACTGCAGTGACTTTGGAACGTGGACTGTCACCAACAGCGAGCTGTTGGCACTGCGGCCCCTTGTCAGTGATAGATCTGAGCTGGCATCAAGCGTAACAAGCTAGATGAGAACTAAATTTGGCACCTGGCACTTGAAAGGTTTGCTGGTGCTGGCCTGGCTGTTTTAACACAGTCCTTCAGTGGCCACAACTTTCACACCAGGCTCCCCAAAATCCATTTCTAAAGTAACAGTGGTGTGGGAGAAGCCGAGTAGAGCAACAGCTGCTTTTAGCTATTACGTCCGAGTTACTTACGGTTGTTACTCATGGCTGGGAAAAACTTCTCAAGGGCCTGTAAGTATGAAATGTGAGTGTTGCCACTGCTGAAATGGAGAACGGGCTTGCTTGGTTGTAGGGGTGTCACACAGGGCTCACCCTTGTAGTGGCTGTTCCCAAACCCCTTGGTGCCTCCCTTCTCCTTGGCAACGCAGCCTCGGTCCTGCCCTAGCCTTTCCTCGTGATCTGAACGAGATTATGCTGTCTGTGAGAGGGTTTGCCTGCTCCCTTGCAGGCTGCGAGCAGGACCTAGTGTAGTATCTGTGGTTCAGGCCCAGTGAGGGAACTGGTTTTAGTTTTGCTCAGGATGCTTAGTGCTTTGTGGACAAGGCACAAACTAAGTTTCTTTGCTCTTGCTGGTGTTCAGCTTAGCCAAAGGCCCACAGTGGCAGAGCTGCAGGCCAGGAAGATCCTGAGATTTAACGAATATGTGGAAGTAACAGATGCTCAAGACTATGACCGGCGAGCGGATAAGCCATGGACAAAGCTAACACCAGCTGACAAGGTAACAGGGAGTGTCCTGTCCCCAGGTGTGGGGAGGGGAGCTATATCGGGGTGTCCCGTTCAAGCCGAGGAGATGTGCTCTGTTCCTTTTGCTTCACCTCTCCATCTTTCCCCCTGCCACCCCACCAAGCACCGCCAGTGTCCCTTCGCCCATGTGTGCTGTACCCAGCCCTGCTTCCTCCCCGCTTAGTGGTGACATGGAGCCCAAGTGGGCATGGTCTGCACACCAGCGTGGCTTCTGCCTCCGCTTCTCAGTGACGGAAGAGGGTGGAAGGTGCAGGGCGTTGATCAGAGGAGTGCTGGCCCTTGCAGCTCTGGCAGGCCTGGGCAAGAAGCTGGCAGGGAAAGCCTGCCTGTTCTTGTCTTCCCTTGGCCACTTGTGGGGACTGCCCAGCCCCCAGGGTGGAGGTGGGGCTGATTAAACTCAGCCTAGTGTGAATGGACTGCGAAAGCTGGGGTGGCTGCTGCAATCTGAGCATCTTCCTTTACCAAAGAACTGTGGGACTCAGCCCTGTGTATCAAAACCACATTTAACTCTTCACCACTGGAAGGTGGTAGGTACAGGTCAGCCCTGAGCAGGGGTGTGGGAGGTACAGCACCCTCTTGCCACATCTGAGCTCACCTGAGATGGGAGAGAAGGAAATGTACGTGTGCCTTAGCAGGAGATAAATCTCTCCCCCTTTTCATGTAGGCTGCCATCCGGAAGGAGCTGAATGAGTTTAAGAGCTGTGAAATGGAAGTCCATGAGGACAGCAAGCAGTTCACAAGGTGAGCGAGAACATAACCACTTAGAGTTTCGGTCTTGTTGGGAGAACTGTGTTGCAAGGGTAGTGCAGAGAGGCAAAATATTAAAACCTTAGAAAAAATGCCCAGCAGTTGAAGATGCAATGTCCCTTTCTGCCTTGGTGGTCTCAGGTGACTGGAGGGGTAGCAGACATGAAGTGGGTTGCTCTTCCATAAACTGGGGCTTTGAGCCTGGAAACTCAAAAGTGACAGTGGCTGGTTTGATGTGTATCTGAAACCAATGTGACCTTGCAGCTGGAGTGTGCTTTTCTGGGGCTAGAGACATGTGCAACAGAAGCCACAGCCACGAAACACCTAGGTAGTTGGCTCTGATATTATCTACAAAGTGACCTGTGGATCATGGCCCAGGTGATTGTTTCCCCCCACCCCCAACAGTTGTTCTGTGTGGCTGAGATGAGTGTTTGCAGAGCACAAGCCTTTCTGAGGCAGAGGTGAAATTGCTTGGTGTTAACAGCTTTCCTGAGGGCTGAGTTCAGAGGTGGTTCAGTTTACTCTTCTTGGTCATCTGCAGTGGCCTAGTAACCATTTAACCTGAGTTCCAAGGATGAAACTCAGATTTTTTTCACTTGGCTTTTAGGTATCATCGACCATAATCTTCCAAGAAGGGAGCAAGAGACCTGAGAGGACTGGAAGTTCTCTGCATCCCTCTCCTTGGGCAATACAGCGAGGGTGGAACCTCGGCTCTTCCAAGATTTGCCTTCAAAACATATCCAGAAAAGGGCTTTCGGCCAGGGAAGGGGAATCCTGTCTGAATGTAGCATTTCACTGGAACAAAGATGTCTCGAGTGCCATCAGGCTGGAACTGAACACTATACCTCGCACGGCTCAGCAATACGCCTCTGCTCCGGCGCCAGCGTCCCTGCCAGGAGACCATGCACGTGTGAATGGATGGTTTGTTCCCCAGCTCCCTTTCTCAGCCCAGACAGGCCCGGTTCTCCGCTGTACATACTCCTGTTGGGGATGCAACTCCTTCATTTCTTCCTCCTTAACAAAAGGAGGCGGCGGGGGGGAAAGGCAGCTCTAGTGTTGGAAAGCTGAGGAATGGAGAGGGGATGTGCTAGGAAGCATGTGTGTATATTAGCTGTGTACAGAGAACCCTGTGCAGATGCTGGCCTGGCAGACAACTGACATGTGACTCGTAATTTTTTGGGTTTTGCTTGCGTCTCTGTCATGTCCTTAATGTCCTGAATCACTACTGACCAACGGTTTGTTGTCCTGGAAGGGAATTGTATAGATATTAACATATGCTGCATCTTTTTGTAAAAAAAAAAAAAAAAAAAAAAAGAAAAACGAAAAACACAAATGTATAAAACATTCCCTCCCCTCCTCTCTCACACTTGCTGTGATGTTAACAGATCTTGAGATACCTAGGCTTGTGTAACAAATTACAGAACCAGGAAAGGACTGTTGCCTTTTTAAAACTTTTTAATTTGGGGAAGCTGTGAGAGTAGTCAGTTCTTTTTATTGTGGCTTCCCCCCAGATGTTTTTTATTCTCCCAAATCAGGGTGAAATTTGCCTTTTCTCATTTTTACAGCTAAACCTACTGGAAACTTGATAATTTCACGGTGTGGGTGGAAGAGGGAGGGAAAGAATAGGTTTAAAAAGTGACCTTAAAACAATACTCTTTCTCTTCGGAGAATGAGCTCATATTGGTTCTTCCTAAAGGTGGGATTTTTTTAAAAAAATTTCTGGTTTCAACCACTGCTGTATCATGCACAAAACCTAACCCATGTGAGATGCCACGTAAAGTGAAGAAGGGAGTATCACAGGATGAGGAGGGTGTGGGAATGGAGAGAATGGCTTGCCTTGTTCACAAACCTGTCTTGTTGCTCGGGGTGGGCCTCGCTGTACCCCGGTTCCTCCGCGCTGTGCCAACACCGGGGCTGCCATGGCCTGACCCACCCCTGCCTGTGGGGAATGGCGGGGGCGTGTGGGATGTGTGTCTTCCTTCACAGCTTCCCCCTGTACAGTATGACTGTAGACTAAATCACTGCATTGTATATCAGTCTCCAACAGATTTTAATTATTGAATAAAAGTATTTTAGGATTTTTTTTTAAGAAAACCCTGCTCTTGTGGTGGTGTTTTGTGGCGGTGCGTGACCTTGGCTGTGTGCTCGCGGGGGGGGGGGGGAGCCGCCGGCGGGGCCGCCATGGCCGCGCTGCCTTTCCCGCCTTCCCCACCGCGCATGCGCCAACCGCTGCCAGCGCGCATGGGCTGTCGCCCCGCCTGCTCCATCCCACTGCGTATGCGCAGATCCTGCCCACTCATCTCCGTTGCTCAGTGCGCATGCGCACTCTAGCTCCGCCCCCCCTCCCGCTCTATAAATACCGCGACGCGGGAGTACTCGGCCTTTCTCCTCAGGGAGCGGTGGGCGGTGCAGGTGAGTCAGGCTGCGACCTCTCTCTTATTCCCCCTTCTCCGCCTTTTTCGCACTTTGATGCGATGTGCTGTGGGGTCCCTACGGCCGCAAAGAGCCACGCTGCCCGTAGGGACATGGCATCCCTGTTCCCCGTTAATAAAAGGCCGTGATTCCCCTTCGCTGGGCGCTGCTGAGGGGCCGCGCTGCCTTCGGCTGCTCCTCACCGGATTCTTTTCTATCCCTTCAGGCCATGCTGACGCCTGTCCTGGCCCGGCCTACTCCAGCTCGCTCCATCCGTGAGTACGGGTCGCACCTCAGAGCCTCAGGCAGCAAGGGGGATGGGGATTTGGGGGTGGCGGTGGCTACAGTGCTTGCAAACCTCAATCCAACGTGGATATCCGGAGAAGTCGCTCTCTCTCGGCTCTGTCCGTGTGGCGCATGGGAGCGTAGGCCCTCGGGCCCGTGACGTATGGTCCCTTTCCACGACGTTGGAGATCAAGCCGGGCCTTGAGCCTGCAGCCTGCATATTCCTACTGCTTTTCTGAGCCCTCGGGCGGTGACAGGGGAGATAAACCATGCAGGAAACAGCTCTGCCGCGCAAAATGGTGTCGGGGGAGGGGGGGGGAACACAGGTGTCAGCCTGCGTGGTGGGAGGGGAAGGGAGAGAGGGAAAAGGACCAACTCTTGAGCAATTACTTAAAATACCCTTTTTAGATTCCAGTTACAAACATGAAAAGTTCGAATTGAGTGCAGCACCGAGTTGGAAGGTGAGTAATACTGCACTGATAAAGTAATGCTGTTGGCTGTGCATGGTTATATTTTGAATAAGCTTGAGCTGTTACTGAGTGGCTTATGGAAACTGAATTGGGTCGATTTAAAGTAGTTGAATGCCCGTGCAGGTTACAGGCATTGGTTAACGGTGAAAGCTTAGCTTAGGTGTTCTCTAGCTTCTGAGATTTTATTGGGCTTTGGATGGGTGGGATGAAGAAGCTGATCGGGCAGGGGAAAGGGACCTGAATCTTAAAGAGGGGAGGAAGATATTCTTGGTGAAGTGAAGGTGAATTATATTTGATTAACTTGAGGCCTTAGTTGTACACTGGGTATTTGGGGAAGGAGCAGAAACAGTGGAAATTCATGATGGCCCTGGCCCTCCTAAACCCTGTTAATCACCCATTCTTTAATACTACTTCGTTGCAGAGCAGACTTTTTGCCCCCTGGGAAAAGCAGTGTATCATTAATGTGGGTGGTGGAGCACTGGGTTAAGGAATGTGGTAGGCACATGCCCCGCTTGCTTAGGACTGGGAATGTGTTGATGGACTTCACCTAATCATCGCGTAGCTAATAAGTTAAGTGCTTCCTGCCAAGTAGTAATCTTTATTTTTTTTTCCCTTAAATTGTTGCAGAGAGTGGTGACTGATAGCGATGAGATGCTAACAGAAAGGAATCCACTGGTCTAGTGGGAGAGGGTGAGTATATAGAGAGTACCAGCCCAAATAATAAATACAGGTGGTAGCTGAGGTTCAGTTCATGCTGTGTGTGCAATGACGACGTAGCCACGGAGATCAGAGTGGGCTGGAAGCAGAAGACACGCCAGCATTTGGCTTTTGAATGGCACGTGCTTCATGCTGGGGACTGCCTGTGAAACAGCCCGGGGCCAGAAGAAAAGGCCGCATGGTGGGTTACATAGCTGCTTTGTATTGTGGTACAGTGAGGCAGGGCTTGGGGCTGAGGGACATGTGAGGAGAGCGGGTAGAGCCTGGAAGGTGCCACAAAGCCAAGGGCCGGGCTCTGGGTGGCCTGGCCCACCAGGAGGGAGCTACCCCTGGAGTGCTCTGGAAGGGGGTGGGAGCCTGGGGTGTATGGAATAAGGAAAAGAAGCCACACAGTTGTGCTGGCCTGCGGACCAGCAACCCACCCTTAATGCCAGCTGCTGGTGAAGATGTGATTTGGCCCCCTGCACAGCGAGGACATGGTGGTGGGGAGCTGATAGTGGAGTGGTGGCTCATAGGATGTGGGTGAGAACAGTGATTTGTGCCTCTGTTACCTGAAATAAGGCCTTGATTGATTGTAAACCTGTATCTAGTTGCAGTAGTGAACTAAATAAACTTTTACTCTTCTTTTTTTTGCTTGGTGTGCATTTCTTTGGGAGTCTTGGAATATGAGGGAAATCCTGCATGTTCCAATCAGTCTCTCACTGGGAGTCAGAAGTGGGATTCCTGTGTGCTACTCCTGTGTCCTCCACAGAGCACTATGGTGAATGGTGCAGAAACCCATCTCAAACCCATGTTACTGGCTGTTGGGTTGGGTAATTAGCGGATGATTTCTGTCTAGTTTTGGGTAATCGGTGCCAAATTTTAAATCAGCTGTAAAGGGCTAAACCCAGAAGGGTTAACATGGGCTGCTGCTCTGGGGGAATCCCGAGGACACTCTTGCACCCTTCTGCAAATGGGGAATGATGCTGATGGGTGGCTTTTGTGGAAGTTATGCTTAAAAGGGTTAAAATGCAAACAGATAATCACCTGCTGGCAGTTGGCTGGATACCCTGCCCTTGACCCACTTGAAATCCAAAGGGTGGGCAGTGGATATGTATCTGCTCATCCCAAGGGGGTTCTGCCCCTCCTGGAGGGGTTTTCTGCTCCCTGGGCTACTGGCTAGGCGAGTGGCCAGGGCACTTCAGGAATAGGATCTGTTTAAGTGGATGAGGCTGGTATATTCATATGTAATTAGGAACCTGATTTCTGTAAAAAGTGCTACTAAATGCCAAATATACAGGTGTTTGGTCTTAACTGGAACAGAACTGATCTGTGAAATAGGAAAGATTCATCATACTAGGTAAGGAGTGGGACTTCTATTGCAGGCACAGACTTGCCATTACCACAAAGAAACTCAGCCTGGTTGCCACTTCAAGAATAAAGGTGGGCTTTCCTCTTCAGCCAGGGCAATAACGGAAGGAGGAGTGGTCTGTTGCAAAGGTGAGGATGGAGAACCACAATGGGGCCAAACCCAGTGGTCAGCCCTATGTGCCCATAGCAATTGGCAAACCCCTGGGGGAAGCCAAATAGATAAAACATATGGCTTTATTAAAATAATATTTTAATTATGAGGACCAGAAAGTTCCAAAACTTGCAATAACTGGGCTCTGCAGAGTCCTTACACCTCCAAGGAGTCCAGTTGTGAGGATGAATCTGTGATTACAAGTCACACTGCTTTTTGAAGAAATGGAATCTTAGGATGTTAATGGCGCAAACTGCCAAAAACACTACAAATTCATAGGTTCCCCCATTCCACGTGTTGATAATGGTTTGGTACTGACCGCAGCTTGGAAACCTGTCCAAACAGCATCTGACCCCATCGAACAGTTGGATTGGGTCAAATACGCATAAGAAAACTCAGTTGCTCTTCAAAACCTGGCAGTCGGAGTTTGCTCTGCCAGCACCGCGGGGGCTTCAGGCACAGGGGCTGGTGTCCCAGTGCCTGGAAGCATCCTCCACCCCCGTGGGCAGGAACCTCTAGTAAAGCCCTTTTACGTTGCAAACAAGTAGTTTTAAATCTTCTAGTACAAATGTCAACAACTTCTCATCATCTCATGCGATGGCTATTTCCGTAATGAGGCGTTCCCGAGCTGGAGGAGGCCGCTGTGGACCTCTGCTACACTCAGAATGGTTTGAAACGCTACTGCAGATGCTTTGAGAAATTCAGAGCCTGAAATCAACTTGCTCTCAGTTAACTACTCAGAACTGATGACTTCAGCCCATCTCCTGGCATTGCAAGGACTGTGTGCTCCTAAATTTGTTGCTTTTTTACAAACCAGCATCAAATAGGATGTAAATAAGTTTGCGTTTTCCATCAAACAGCCCAAGAACACGCTTCGTTAGATGGCATCTTAGCTGTGGTCCTGGCTACCACACCTCGGACCTGCCGGGTTTTGTCAATGCTCTGTCTTCGTTACCATCATCCAATTAGTCTCTCCTTGTATTAATTGTCTTACTTTTTGCTGCAGACCCATCGGCTTGCCACTGAGCCCGCAGCTATGCAGGCAGGGGGAATCGCTGCTGCTTAGAAGTTGGATTGCACCGGGTAATGAGGGGGGAGTCCCCAGGGAAGCCTGGGCGGGGGCCCCGGAGCAGCATCTGCCCTGCCCTGCCTGCTCTGTGCTGCCCACTCTGCCTGCCCTGCCCTGCCTGCCTGCATTTTCCTGCCTGCCCTGCTCTCCCTGCCTGCAGTTCCCTGCCCACGCTGCCCGCGCTTCCCTCCCACTCGCGGGGGCCGGGCCCGTCGCGGGGCCGCCGGCCGGCAGAGGGCGCTGTTCCCTGCCGAGCGGGCGACGCTGCCCCGCCCCCCGCGCATGCGCAGTGCGGGAGCGCGGCAGAGGCCGGCGGCGGAGCGGAGGTGGGACCGCGGCGCGGCCCCGGGGGGGGCGAGGAGGGGGGGGGGACGGGGGCACACCGGGAACGGGGGGCGAGGAGCGGGGGGTGGTCCTGCCGAGCCCCGACCCGCTCCCGGTGCCTCCGGCCACCCCTCGGCCAGCGGCACCCGGCGGGGAGGAGAGGCCGGGCCGGGCCGCGGGCCTGCGTGGCCCCACGTGGGGGGGGGGGCGCGGGAATTCAAACGGCGGGAAGGGACGAGGGTGAACGGCCGGGTGGGGGGGACACAGCCCAGGCTGCCTTGATCTGAGGGGTGGAGGGCTTCACGTCGGCGTGGGAACCGTGGATAAAACACGAAAAAGGGAAAACAAACAAACAAACAACAAACCAACCTGCTTTTTTCCAAAGCGAGAGCGGAGGTCGGTGCTCAAATCCTAATTCAGTCAGCAGTCCCTCAGGCGATGCGAGGTGATTTTTAAAGCGGGGTGGCAGGGGGAGACCCCGAGGAGCCGACAGCGCCGTGGGTGACCCCCTAACACCGTGTCTTCCGTGTTTAGATCCAAGGCACTATGCCAGGGAAACGCACTGCGAAGAAGAGCCTGGTGCTAGAAGAAGAGTCTCCTGGAAGGAAGAAGATTAAAGGTAAGAAAAAAGACTGGGAGATTTCCATCCCGGTTCCCAGAACCAGCTTTAATGGAAGGGTGGTTCCCCCTCTATGTTGTAGATGACATTCAGAATCACAGAATGGTTTGGGTTGGAAGGGACCTTAAAGCCCATCCAGTCCCACCCCCCTGCCCCGGGCAGGGCCCCCTTCCCCCAGCCCAGGGGGCTCCCAGCCCCGTCCAACCTGGCCTTGAACCCTTCCAGGGAGGGGGCAGCCACAGCTGCTCTGGGCACCCTGGGCCAGCGCCTCACCCCCCGCACAGGGAGGAATTTCTGCCTTAGATCTCATCTAAATCTGCCCTCTTCCAGTTTAAAGCTGTTACCCCTCATCCTACCCCTACCCCCCTGATCCAGAGTCCCCCCCCCCCCCTCTCCTGTCCCCCCTTTAAGCCCCGGGAGGCCGCTCGAAGGGCTCCCCGGAGCCTTCTCTTCTCCAGGCTGAACCCCCCCAACTCTCTCAGCCCGGCCCCCCAGGGGAGCTGCTCCAGCCCCCCGAGCATCTTCGTGGCCTCCTCTGGCCCCACTCGAGCAGCTCCGTGTCCTTCTGCTGTTGGGGGCCCCCGAGCTGGCCCCAGCACTGCAGGGGGGTCTCCCCAGAGCGGAGCAGAGGGGGACAATCCCCCCCCCGGCCCTGCTGCCCCCCCTGCTCTGGCTGCAGCCCAGGGCACGGGTGGGTTCTGGGCTGCGAGCGCACGGGGCTGCCTCACGGGCAGTTTTCCCCCCACCAGCCCCCCCAGCCCCTCTCCTTGGGGCTGCTCTCCAGCCACCCCTCGCCCAGCCGGGGTTTGTGCTGGGGATTGCCCCGACCCACGGGCAGGACCTTGCCCTTGGCCTTGTTGAACCCCAGGAGGTTTGCACAGTCCCCCCTCTCCAGCCTGCCCGGGTCCCTCTGGATGCCATCCCTGCCCCCAGCGTGTCCCCCCACCACACAGCTCGGGGTCGTGGCTGAACTTGCTGACGGTGCAGCCACCCCACTGTTGAATTTATCTCCCTTCTGCCCCGCAGTCAGCCACCCATCCCACCGCACACAGCCCGGCCTGGTGCTGACGCTGGGGCAGGGGGATGTCGGCCAGCTGGGCCTGGGGGAGGAAGTGATGGAGAGGAAGAAACCAGCCCTGGTGCCGCTGATGGAGATGATGGTGCAGGTGGAAGCCGGAGGGATGCACACGGTGTGCCTCAGCCAGACGGGAAAAGTGAGTGCAGCGTGGAGGGGGCAGCACCCGGAGGAGTGGGGAGATGCTGAGCTGTGCTTCCCCACAAGCTCTGGAACGTGTCCTGGGGCAGGGGGTCTGAATCAGACTCTGCTCTGCCAGACATGGAGCTCACTCCAGATCCAGGGATGAGCACGGTCTCCATGCCACAGGCCACACTTTTAGGTGGTCAAAGGGATAACTCACCCTGGTGGGTCTCTGTCCCCTGCCTTCACACTCAAACCTGTTGCCCCTCCGGGTCCCATCCTGACCATCCTGTGCTCTTATCTGCAGATTTACACCTTTGGCTGCAACGACGAGGGCGCCCTCGGGCGCGACACTTCGGCAGAAGGGTCAGAGACCACGCCGGGGCTGGTGGAGCTGCAGGAAAAGGTGGTGCAGGTCTCTGCAGGGGACAGTCACACAGCCGCGCTGACAGAGGACGGCAGGGTTTTTGTCTGGGGCTCTTTCCGGGTAGGTCGAGTTCTCAGATGCTGGAAGCTCTACTGATGGCTGCTGCTTCTGGGACTCACGTCCCCGCGTCTCTCTCTCCACCCAGGATAACAACGGCGTGATTGGCTTGCTGGAACCCATGAAGACGAGCTCCGTTCCTGTGCTGCTCCAGCTCAGCACACCCGTCATTAAAATTGTCTCAGGTAAGTGAGAGTCCTGGGGTGTGTGGGGGTCAGGCTGGTGCACGAGGTTGTTACAACCCTCGAGAAAAGTTGAAGGTCCAGAAGGTCCATGTCCTTGTCTTCCCTCTTGGCTGCTTTGAACCAGGTACAAGGGTGTGCTTGCTCTCCTCTAGCTCCTGAGAGAACAGACTTTGTATCTCTCCTTGCCCCAACAGTATTGTTAATATTTTACCCAATCCTATCTAAAACACCTTACAAGAGTGCCCTAACCATGACCCTGCAGGGTCAAAAGTGCTTGCCCTTTTCTAGACTTGGGGTAGCTGAGCAGAGCAGCCGGGGAACTTGTCCAGGGCCCGGGTGATGTTGGGGGGTTAGGTGAGGTTCAGGTTAGGGCTGCACCCCTAAACCTTCCACGAGAAACTTCTTTAAGGCTTTGGCTGGGGAGCTGGGATCGGGAAGAGGGAGATCCTGGGGTTTTAAGTTGTGCCAGAAGCCGGTCAAGGTATTCAGTGCAGTAAACCCCACTGAATTTTAGAAAGCTGGGACAGCAGGGGTTTACGTGGAGGATCTCAGCCCCTGGGTCTTGCTGGGTGCCTGGAGCATGACTCCTGCTTCCCTCCTCTCCCTCATCTCCCAGGGAATGACCACTTAGTGATGCTGACGATGGACGGTGATCTCTTCACGTGCGGCTGCGGCGAGCAGGGCCAGCTGGGGAGAGTGCCGGCGCTTTTTGCCAACCGAGGAGGAAGGAAAGGGCTGCGTGAGTTGCTCTGGTGCTCGGAGGCGCGTGGTGCTGCGTCCTTTAGCCCCAGCTCTGTGCTTTCCAGAGGAGCAAAGAGACCCGGACATTTCCCCTGCTTCTCAGGGGCTTGTGTGTAAATCGTTTACTTGAATTCAGCAAGCTGGGTCGAAGGGGGAAGGAAAAGGGTGTAAATCATTCGTGACACCTTGTCTCCTGCCCCCAGAGCGCCTGCTGGTCCCTCAGCGTGTCCCTGTCAGAGGCAAAGGCAACAGAGGCAAAATGTGTTTCCAGGACGCCTTTTGCGGGGCTTACTTCACCTTTGCCATCACGCAGGAGGGACACATCTACGGATTCGGCCTCTCCAACTACCACCAGCTGGGTGAGCTTCACTGACGTCCCTCCAGATCTGCCTGCTGTGGTCTGGCTCTGGACTCCTTGGTCCCCTGCTGCCCTGGCTTGGTGGGGGGATGCTGCTGGAACCCCCTGAACACCCACCAGACACACTGGAGCTGGGAACTGGGGGGTGGGGGGAGTGTGTGTCACCCTGTATAGCTCTGGGTTCAGGTCCCAGCCCTTGCAGCCAGCGGGTTTGAGCAGAAATTTGATTGGGGGGAGGGGGGGGGGTGCTGGGTTAGTCTCTGGCGGGGTGATCCCCAGGGTGGATGGCTCAGTGCCGGTGCCTGGCCTGGGCTGTCCGTGCCTGCGGACCTGATCTGCCTGGGTTTGTGTGTCCCACCCCGCAGGGACCCAGGGCACCGAGCCCTGCTTCTCCCCGCAGAACCTGACGTGCTTCAAGAACTCCACCAAATCCTGGGTGGGGTTCTCCGGCGGGCAGCACCACACGGTCTGCGTCGACTCGGAGGGTGAGCGCCGGCGGGGCGGGCGGGCTGGGAGCCTCACAGAGCGGGACGGGGGGGGGACTCCCACAGCCCTCCTCGTGGCTGAGGGGGGTGTTGGGGTGAGGGTGACGTGCTGGAGCCCTTCAGGTGTTTGAGGCAACAAGGGTGGTATGAATTTACAGCGAAGAGCGGGGAGGATGACAGGAACCCGGAGTCACTTGTGAGCTCTGCTCTTGCAGGCTCAAGAGTCTGTCCAGGCACCCGCCTACCCTGTTGATTTTGGGAGCTCAAGTGCCTCTGTCCCACCCTACACCTCCTGGTTGGGATCTAGGCTGTGGTAGGGAGGAGTGATGCTCCCCCAGGGGTGGGACTAGGGGGAGAGGGTCCTGCTGTGGCCGCTTGTCCCCCGTGAATCACCTCTCCTGTGCATCTTACTGTGCTCCAGGTAAAGCCTACAGCCTGGGCAGGGCAGAGTACGGCCGGCTGGGCCTCGGGGCAGGGGTGGAGGAGAAGAGCACGCCCACGGTCATCCCGGAGCTGCCCAGCATCTCTTCTGTCGCGTGCGGCGCGTCGGTCGGCTACGCCGTCAGCAGTGACGGTGAGTGCCGGGGGCCTCGGTGGGCTCAGAAATTCCACCTCGTGGGGTGTGTCTGTGTGTGTGTCTGTGTGTGTGTCTGTGTGTGTGTCTGTGTGTGTGTCTGTGTGTGTGTCTGTGTGTGTGTCTGTGTGTGTGTCTGTGTGTGTGTCTGTGTGTGTGTCTGTGTGTGTGTGTCTGTGTGTGTGTGTCTGTGTGTGTGTGTCTGTGTGTGTGTGTCTGTGTGTGTGTGTCTGTGTGTGTGTGTCTGTGTGTGTGTGTCTGTGTGTGTGTGTCTGTGTGTGTGTGTCTGTGTGTGTGTGTCTGTGTGTGTGTGTCTGTGTGTGTGTGTGTCTGTGTGTGTGTGTGTCTGTGTGTGTGTCTGTGTGTGTGTGTGTCTGTGTGTGTGTGTGTCTGTGTGTGTGTGTCTGTGTGTGTGTGTCTGTGTGTGTGTGTGTCTGTGTGTCTGTCTGTGTGTCTGTCTGTGTGTCTGTCTGTGTGTCTGTCTGTGTGTCTGTCTGTGTGTCTGTCTGTGTGTCTGTCTGTGTGTCTGTCTGTGTGTCTGTCTGTGTGTCTGTCTGTCTGTCTGTGTGTCTGTCTGTCTGTGTGTCTGTCTGTCTGTGTGTCTGTCTGTCTGTGTGTCTGTCTGTCTGTGTGTCTGTCTGTCTGTGTGTCTGTCTGTCTGTGTGTCTGTCTGTCTGTGTGTCTGTCTGTCTGTGTGTGTGTCTGTCTGTGTGTGTCTGTGTGTGTGTCTGTGTGCGTGTCCCACACCCCTCTCAGCCTGGCCCCCCTGGATCCAGCCACCCCGCACAGCTTCATCGCACGCTGGGGCGGGACTGGAGCCAGGTCCTGGTGCTGATCAACCCCCCAGCCTTGGGGGCAGCTGGGCACCAGCTGCTCAAATATTTTTGTGGGCCTTTGGCAGCAAGGTTGGTAAGCGGGTGTTGACCAGGAGGGGGGTCATTGGCCTGCTGGTCCCTGCTCTGCACCCTGAGCTCCGCTGCTGCAAAACCGCGCTCTGGTGCTGTGGGAAGGAGGGTTTGCAGTGGGCCGGTGGATTTGATTTCCTCCCCGGGGACAAAACTGCCTTGGCTGTGTGATGAAACAGCCTCTTTTGAGTTGCCAGGTGCTGCTTCTCTTTGCCCTCCCTGGGTCTCTGGCACCCGTCGCTCGTCCCCCCTCCCCGGGTGTGAACTCCCCACGCGTTTGGCTGCTGGGTCCCCTTCCCACCCCAGCGCGCAGCCGCTTGGAAATCAAAACTCACCGTCACCTCCGTTGCAGGACGAGCCTTCGCCTGGGGCATGGGCACCAACTACCAGCTGGGCACAGGGGAGGAGGACGACGTCTGGAGCCCCGTGGAGATGAAGGGCAAGCAGCTGGAAAACCGCAGGGTCCTGGCCGTGTCCAGCGGCGGGCAACACACGGTGCTGCTGGTCAAGGACACGGAGCAGAGTTGATGAAGCGCCGCTGAGCCCAGTGGGGTCGCGGGACCCGTGCACACACCCCCCCACCTTCCGCCCAGGTCGGGTGACTGGTTTCCAGTTCTGGTCTCTCGCCGACGGCGGTGGGGAGGGCAGGAGGCTCCCGGAGCCGGGCCCCGGCAGCGTCTGTGTGGCTGGAGCAGGGCTCTTCAGGGATGCTCGTGTTTTACTCCCTGCAAGCGTGTGTCTTGTCTTCCCGTGGTGTCCAGTGCTCTGTCAGCTCCCCCAGGTTGGCTTGGTCCTAAACTGATCTCAGTACTGTGCCTGGATGGGTTTTCCACTTCTTGTCTGATCTTGTGTTTTTAATATTTCCCGGCCTGGCAAAGCTGAAGGCCTTCGTTTTCACAAAAGGGTTTGGGCGTCAGGCTGTCTGAGGTTCCTGTGTTTCCCCATCTCTGGGTGCGCCTCCATCCCCTTAACCTAAACATGTTTTACCTCTCCAACTTGGATTTGTCTGCTGCCACCCACCAAACCCCGCTGGGCTCGTTCTGGGGGAGATCTCGGTCCAGCAGAAGCGCTCCCGGGGAACTCTCCCCTCGCACCCAACGCTTCTAGCCGGGGAGATGCTGCTGGACGATGCCCGGCCTGTGCTGTGCACAGAGCTGTGGCTGCTGGAAAAGGGGGGGGTCCTGCCTCCCACCCCTCACTGCTTACAGATCTGAGCCAAACTCCCCCAGGCAGCGAGGCCGGGAGCCGGTTCCCCCGCTCCCTCCTCTCCAGCACGGCCGCTTCCAGCACTGATTTTTGCAGTCCCAGCCACTCCTGCTCTTTCCCATCGCCTTCAGAAACCCAACAAAATCCATCCCACGGGTGGGGACTTAGTTATTTGAATTTTTTTCTCTTTCCTTGGCTGAGGAAGGAGCTTCATTTGCTGCTAGGGCCTCGCTGAGAAGACAACCAAAACGCAGCTATGCATCGGATCGCTTGAAACAGTGGGACTCCCTCCTCCCCCGCGCCTCCGGTCTTGGTCCAACTGGTCTCGCTCCCTGTGCCCGGCCTGCCCCAGCTTCTCTTTCCGTGCTGCCTTCCAGGTACCTGGATTGAGAAAGGGGGTCTGCGAAGATTAAATTTTATATGTTAAGTTATAGCAATAGGGGGAAGCGGGGGGTGTGTGCAGGGCGGGGAGCTGGGACTTGTACAATGGCTCAGAATAGGTTGAATTTTTTTAAAAGAAAATGTATTTTGGTTGATTGAGGAAGAGAGGAAAAAAACTGTAATCTTTTATCATTTGGAATAAACTGAGTTTTGCTAAACCTTGGGTTTTCCTGTGGTCTGGAGGGGTGGGCAGCCCTCCTGTGGCTGTGGGTCTGCTCTGGGCTCACCTCTGAGGATGGTGGGGCCAGAAAGGGGCTGCTCGTGTCCCCTCCTGCCACCTCTCCAGAAACTGCCACGTTCCTGTCCCCGAGCTGCCGCGGGAGCTGCGCTGGTGGCTGCGGGGAGGGGAGCCCAGGACTGCCAGAGGCTCAGCATCCTTCAGCCCGTGCCTGGGGGGGGCCGAGATGGGGATGGGTTGGGGACACTCGGGCCTCCTGGCACCCCTGGACAGGGGGCCGCTGTGGTGGGGAGCCAGTTCTCTGTGGCTGTGGTGCTGGGGGACAGGTCGAGATAGGCGCCTGCTTTGTAGGGGTGCAGGGCCACCCTTGGGTGCTGCTGTGGTTCCAGCCCACCCACAGCCGTGTCCGGTGCCGTGGGTGGGTGCACACGTGCAGTGGTGGGACGCGGCCGCGGGATGGCAGCAGGAGAAGGCGCTGGGGACAGCGGGGCCGCTGTACTGGGAGAAACGGGGCAGGGAAAAGGGATGGTCCCCATGGGGCTCTCCGTGTCCCCGTAGGATCCCTGGCGTGTTTGGGACTCGGGGCCCAGCTGAGCCCACTGCCACGGCCGGGAGGTGTCCTGGCGTGTCCCTGCCACGGGCTGGGCACAAGGCAGCTCCAGGAGTGTTGTGCTGCGGCGCAGGGACTGGCACCGACGGAGAAAATTTCCACATCCTGGTGTGACCGGAGCCCCTGGTCTCTGTTTATTCTTAATTATTTTGGGAGAGAGCAGGTTCCTTAACGAGCCTCCGGCTGCGGGTGGGTGAGTGTTCACTGATACCGTGGCTCATGCTGCTCGCTGGGGACCGTCACCCTCCATTTTTTGCTCCTCCATCAGATGTGACCTGCTGGTGCTGGATACCTGGTGGGGAAACTACTCCTTGCCTTGGGCCTGGTTCCCAGCCACAAGCTCGATGTTAATGTCTTGTTTCCAAAAACAGCGCTGGTATTTTTATATCCCACCCAGGGGGAAAACCCACCCCACTCCGAGTTACTTTGCCACCCTTTTTCCAAGCCCACCGATGCCGCCGTGACGCAGGCAGCTCGGCCAAGCTCCGCTTCGGCGGCTGCTTTTCACGCGTCTTCCCGCCCTTCGCTTCGAACCTCGCTGACCTATTTACAGCTAAGAAATGCGGAGACTTAATAAAGGGAGATGTGGGATGACTCCGGCGTTGGGGCGATGCTGACAGGCCACAGGGTTGGAAGAGCAGCTTCTCGGTCTGCGGGGTGCCCGGGTGGGTTGGGGTTAAACTGCCAGTTAAACCGGGCTTGGGGTTTGGGGAGTTTGAGGTGTGGGTTTTGATGCAATTTCTGGGTGGTGTGAATGTCTCCTAGAGAAGGTGATGTGCTGTTCAAAACCCTGTGGAAAATTATTTCGGGAAGGGCAAAACTCGCCCTGGTGAGGGGCTGGAGCCCCCCAAGGCGTTGCTGGCAGCACGGAGGGGAAGGGGATGTGCAGAGCAGCCGGGGAGGGACCCGACCAGCCTGGCCAGGGCACAGCGTCCTGGTGACCAGTCAGCAGCACCCCGGGACTGGCTGGGGTTCGGCTCTCTCCTCCTCATCACCCCTTTGGCTGGTGACCCCGTGGGTCCCCCTCCACTCCCAGCTTCTCTCTCACCACCAGCTCAGGGCGGCTCTTCCTGGTCCTTCCTTCTCAGTCCCACTGTTGGACAGGGAAGAGTTTCAAGATGCAAAACCGAATCAAGAAAAGTCGGTGCAAGGGGCCGAGCTGGTACCTGGGGAGGCTTTTCCCCTCTGGTTGCACCAAGAAGCTCCTGTCCCTCTGAACTGGAGCGTCCCCATCGGGGTGCGGCGCCTTCAGGCACACAGCAAAAGGCCGGGTGGATGGAGAACATTCCTCCTCCCTTCTGTCAAGTGGGATTTTCTTTCTTTCCTCAGCTGCCAAAAGCCTCCAGCTCAGCCATCAGGTGAGCTGGGAGACTCCCGCGGTGGCCAGGCTCCGCTTCCCGAGCGCGGCCGATAACCCCTGAGAGCAAACACCCACCCAGCGTCTCGCCCAAGGGCTGGTTTGACCCTTCTGGGTGACAGAGACCTCAGGGTAGGGGGGTCAGCTCGTGCTGGTCCTGCCCAAACTCCACTTCCTCCCTGAATTTCTCTGCAGTGTGAGTCAGCAGCTCCACTCCCAGTGCTCCCAGTTGCTCCCCAGTCCCTTAACACGGGCAGATTTTTACATCCATCCCCCAGGCTGGGGTGATTTCTCGCAGCATGAGGAGGAACCAGCTGGTGGTACCATCCTGCGTGGTCCCCCCAGGGCCAGATCCTGCCAGGAGCCGATGCAATTCCCTCCTTCATTTCCTGCAGCTGGGTCAAAACCCCAATCGTTCCCAAATGGGAAGGGATCATTCCCATCCACCTGTCCTCGAGGGGCTGGTCCTGCTCCTGGGAAGGGGAAAACATCCCCTTGTGACTAGGGATCCTGCTGATATTTTCAAGAAAGAGGGGAGAAAAGGGCTGGGAAGAACAATAGAATTTAAAATATTCAGATCTGGTGAATCAGCCGACGTTGTCTTGGGAGCCAGAGTGACACTTCAATAGGAAGTTGCTGGAAACTGGGGGAAGGATGAGCCCCCGCGCAGGGGGGAGAGAGTGGGCGAAGGAAAACAGCTTAATTGAGAAAAGGGAAACATCTCATTAATGAGGTTTTGTGCCGGCAGAGCGAGGTGGAGGCATTTGGGGGATGAGGAATTTGGGTCCTGTGGTGGAGTCTGTGGGGGACCCCTGGCTCGGTGCACGGCAGTTTTTCCACCTCCGACACAGACAGATCCTTTCTCATTGTGGGGGGGGGTCCCCGGTCGGCAGCTCCCATCCCGCACTCCCTGTCCCCATCTGTTGCTATTTGAAGTGCATAAAGGGCCTTTAATTTACAGACAAAAGATGGGAATGTGGGATTTGGGGCTTTTAGCATCCTGGAGGATGAGCTCTGGTGTTGTGAGGCCCTTTTGTCTCTGGAATAAAAGCACTTTGTGTGTTGTTTGAATGATGGGTGGGGTTTTATTTTTCTTGGTTTTTTAACATGTTGCTTTTTTGGATACAAAAAAAAAACCTACCTATGCAATGCTCCTACAGGATCTACTGGGAGACAACTGCATCTTCAGGAGGGTTTGGGGGATACTGAAGTGGTTTCTTGTCCTCCTTTTCCTGCCTCAAAGAGGAAACGACTTTTAATTATTGCCAAGTTGCCTGGTGGCAGGGCCGTGTAGTTTTCCCTGGGCTTTGGGAGCCGGCTAATTAAACAGCCGGCTGCAGCGTGTCAGGTCGTGCAGGTCTTTAATGATGGGTCTGCAAGTGGAGGAGAGAGTTTGGTCACTGCACGGGGTGGTCTCACCTCCCTGAGTCCTGGCATTAAGGCTGGAAACCTGGCCAGTACCTCCCGGTATAACCGGGGTGTGCAATGGTTTGATGTGGCTCCTGGTAAAGGAGCATGTTGGGTCTCTTGGGGATGAGAATTGGGTTGAAATAGTGATGTGTGGAGCTCTCTGCCCCCTCCTAAAACTGCTGAAGTCCTGGTTCATCCCCTTTAAGAGTTCGAAAACAGATAAAACTCCTCTCCTGTCTCAGGACATCCCTCCGGAGCTGGGGAACAGGAGCCCGGCTCCTTCCCTGTGTGTGGGATCCCCAGTGCTCCCCCGGGCCACCACCCACCCCCCCAAGTCCAGTCCCTGGGCGCTGTGTGTCCCACTTGCATAGGGAAAAAAATAGCACAAATCGAGCAGAATTTGTAACTATGACAGGAGACGGGGAAAAAAAAAAAAAAAAAAAAGCCCTAGTAATTATTCATAGTGTTTTGGGTTTTTTCTTTTTAAATGATGAATTGCAAGTCAAGAAGTGTCTCTTCAGGACTGAGAGCCTGAATCCACCCCAAGCTGCTCCAGAGCAAGGGTGGTGGGAGATATCGCCCGCATCCTCACCAGGAAAGCCGGATTTACTCATTTCCATATGCATAATAATGCAATTAGAAAGTCAGCCTAAACCTGTGGTTGCAGACAAAGAAACAGGCAGCTTCGTAATTAATCACACGTGTAAGAATAAAGCCTGTTACATTAGGGTTCATTATTTGATGGATTAATTTAAAAAAAAAAAAAAAAAGAAAGAACATTTTCTGCAGTAGCAAATGTGTTATTAGACTGCAAAGACAGTCCCTGGAAATAGCTTGTAGGTGCGTTGCAGCTCCTGTGTGCTGGCACATGTTGCTGCATTATTCACTGGGCTGGCTGCTGGTTTAACTGGGCTGTGAAATTGCTGGAGTCGGTGCCTGGATTCATTTTCTGAGGGCGCTCGGTGATGGGGAGGGGTCTGGGAAGCAGCTTTGGAGTGGTGCTGGAGCAGTAATGCCCCTGCTAGAAACCACATCCAGGCTGGAAATGTGGTTTTTGCATCCGCCCCGTGCTCTTTATGCTTTTTCAGTTCTTTGGGAACTCACAAAACACTTCGCAAATTGACATGGCAGAAGTGATAAATACTTTAAAATCCAAAGTCTCATTAACCAGGAGCAGCGTTACAGGCTCCAACACCCCTTTCCGTCGCATTTTCACTAAATCCTCATTTGCATTTAAATTACAAATGTAATTTGGGCTGGAGTTTGAGTTGCTGGACTATTAAAATAAAACTATATCTTGATGACTGGCAGCAGAGGGATGCCTCCAGTGCTGCCGGTGTGGTGCAAAGGCTTTTGGTTACTGGGGTTTGCAAAATAACCTCAGCGAAAGGGGCTTGGGGTTTCATGAAGGTGGGTTTTCCCCTGTACGGGAGAGTTTTTAAAACTTGAATCTGGGGGTAGTTCCTCTCCCATCACTCTCTCAAACACCACCCTGAGCCAGATCTTGCTCGTTTTCAGAGCCTGAGTCAAAGGAGAGCTGGAAACTGACTGCTGTCTCTTATTTTATTTTATTTATTTATTTGTAGAAAGCGTGGTTCCTATACAGAAGTGCCACTGAAAGCCCAAAATAATGATGGCTGGAGCTGGAAGTAGTGGCTGAAGCACTTTGCGAGGTCCCGGTCGGTGCTGTGGACCCGGCAGCTTCAGCAGGAGCCCAAGCTCCATCACACACCGAGTAGCGGGGGGCTGCGATAGCGGGGGGGCAGGATGGGGTGGCCTGGGCTATAGACAGAGAGATACATATATACATATATAAAAAAAGTATACAGAGTGCCCTCCGAGCATCCCAGCTGCGGCACGGCTCTGCACGGGCAGACACAAACTCCCAGCAGTGTTTCCCTGGGTCAGGATTTGACCCCAGTTTCCCAGCCTGAACGAGGGGCTGGTGGAGCTGGTTTTCGGGTGGGTGCCGTTGCGGGGAGAAACTGGATCAGCCCCGGGGTGTCTGCTGGGGTGCTGCTGAAACAGGCAGGTGGGTGATGCTCCAGGTCCGTGTCATCACAAGGGCTCCGGGGCGGCGTTTGTCATCAGCATTCTATGTTCCCCAGGAATATTTTTTTTTATTTTATTTTTTTTTTTAATTCAGCAAAACCTAAGCTAAGAAAAGCCACGATCCTCGCTGTGTCCTGGGCACTGAGCTCTGCCCAAGCGTGGCTGCATTTAAAAAATAATGACTTGAAGCCTTTTAACCCGCTTTAAGGCCATGGCAGGCACAACTCCCAGCAGGGTGGGAATTCGGCAGGGCTCCCCAAGATGGAAAGATCCTGTGGGGATGGGAAATGGGGTGGCTGAGCTTTGGGGGGTGGCTGAGCTGCCCACGGAGCCCTGAGCCAACCCACAGCCCCCGGCACTCACAGCCTGGACCCCCCAACACGATGGCGTGTCCTCAAAAGGGGCTGCGTGGGGGCAGAGATGCCCCATCCACGGATGATGGGGTTCACCTCCCCTGTGTCCCCCAGTTTCTTCACTGTGCTCTCTGCAGCCACTGCTGCTGTGGTTGGAAACGCTGCTCTCCTTCGTGCCTTTACCAGCCTTGATCACGGCGTTGGTATTTCTAGGGGACACTGAGGCACTGGCTAAGGCGGGTTAACGAGATCAATGACTTTGGATCGTCGTATTTTTGGAGGGGTATCCCCCAAATTGAACTATCGAGCCAGAATTCAGCTTCATGCTGAAGCCTGGAGTGAAAGCCAAGATATCCTGGTCCACAGCATGGGACATCCCACCCCTGCAGGGACATCCAGCCCTGTCGGGACACCCCACCATTGCCAAGACCTCGCCACAAACCAGCTCCAAACCAAGAGCCTTTCCCACCACGCGCTGCCGAGGGCTTTGCCCCCAGGGTGGGTGGAGGTGGAGAGCTGAAGGGTGGTCTCCAACTCCTTCTGGACACCTTAGTCTCTCTTCTCCTGGAGCTGAAGCTCAGCCTTATGAGACCCTGGGGGGTTTTCACCCCTCAATTTCTGCCCCAGAGCTGATCCTGCTCACCCTCCCGCACCTGATGTTCCATGAACAGCCAGGGCTTGTGGTGGCAAGGGACGAGGAGACCAAGCATGGCTCTGCCAGTGTTGCAGGACTCCATCCGTGCCTGCAGAGGGATCCTGAGGAGCCCTGGGCAGCAGCTGGAGGTATCAGGGCTGATGTCACGCCGAGCGAGAGGCTTTTGCTCGGGGCGGGGGACGTGGTGCAGGCAGGCGAGGAGGATGGCTTGCGCGCTTCAGTGGCGATTGATTTGGGATCCAAGTGAGCAATTTCACCTTATTTGGTTCCTTTGAAAGAGGAATTGGTTTCGGCTGCCTCCTCGGCTCTGCCTTCCTAACCAGGAGGCTCCAATTTCCACAGGCTCTGGAGAAAGGTAGGGCTGGTAAGGAGAGGTAATGGCCTCTATTAGGCTAAATTGATGCAACTGGAAAAACCAGAGACGCAACCCAGGCTCTCCATCCAGCCCACGAACCCCAGGTGCACCCGGGCGCTTGCCTGTTTCCTCCAGCTGCATCAATTTGTCCACTAAATGCTATTACAGCTCCCTCCGAGCCTCCTCCTCCTCGGGCCATTTGACCTCCTGGACACAGCTGCAGTGGTGGGAAGGTGAGAGGAAGGAAAAGTCGTGGCTCCCGGATGCTGCTCGTGGCTGGTGTGGGGCTGGCAGGCGAGATTCAGGGAGGGGAAGGCCGGGAGGACCCATCAGTCATTGTTTAGCAGCAGATAATGTGGTCCAGAGGTCCCTGGCTCCTGCAGGATGTGCTGCCTTTGAGCTCAGCCACCTCTTCGGAGGGATGGCTGCTCCACCCGGATGAGTGCTGGGCATGAAATCTTAAAATCACTGCTTCTTTTGGGCCGTGGGTCCTTTCTCAGTGCTTGCATGAATTCTGTCCCTGCTTGGGGGATTATGAAGTGATGGTGGTATTTCTCTTATGCTCTACTAAAAAAAAAAAAAAAAAAAAAAAAAATCCTATCAATTTTGGCTTTGCTAAAGGAAACCTGGGCAGTGCTGTTGCTCATCCTTTACCCAACGGGCAGGGGAGGGAGAGCCCTCGCAGTGCTGCCTGTTAGTCCATCCTAAATGCTTTAACACTGTGAGAAACTCCACAAGTCCCCACAGATTCTTCCCTTAGTGGGAGCTTTCTCGGGCTTAATGTCTTTGGAGGCAGATGGGTGAGGAGTGGTTCCCCATCACCCTGATGGATGCTGGGCCAGGGCAACTGGGCATCAGCACATGGACACAGGGTGAGCTTGGGACGTGCCCTGCTCCATCCCCCCACCCGTCCCTGGCTGTATCTGTATTCCCAGCATCACATCTGTGTCTAGGGCTGCCCTGGCTGCAGTCACACGTCTCTAAATAATACAGTAATGACATTAACAGCAGAAAGTCGTCCTTTGGGGGCAGTTCTGGTTTGAAGGACTCCGGTAAAATTTTTACGATGGATCTGGAGCTCTTTGATAGCAGTGTCTCTGAAGTGGCATTGTTTTTTCTTCCCAGCTCTGGCCGTTTTTTGGACACAGCTCAGAGGGGGATGGAGTGAGGCCCCATGACGTGGCTTCACCATCCAGCACCGTCCCCTTTTTCCGCCTGACAGGTGAGGGCTTCCCCTCTCGCCACGGGCTGCGGTGTCACCTTGGCCCATGCAGGAGGAGAAGCGTGTGGTCGTTGCAATGACTGTGTCCGGGGGTGACTGGGCTTTGCTGATAGCTGTGTGCTGGAGGGTGACAGCCCTGGCCAGGGGAACGGGGCTGCTGGTTCTTCCCAGCCACGGTGGGAGCAGCAGCAGAGCTGCTCTGCCCAAGTTGCCTCTTGTTCTGGTCCTCTCCCTGCGTTGCTTGGTGAGTCCCGATTCCCCCACCCCCGGTTCTCCAGGTTGAAAAAAAAAAAAAGTCTTTGCAATCACTTGCCGTCAGTCTGCACATAAACCCAGCGGCGTTATCGAGCAGCACCCAGGCCACCGCTCTGCTAGAGCTCCGTGGTGGTGACCTGGGTCACTTCTGAGCGCGGGTCGTCCCCTCCGTGGCCCCGGCAGCCCCGCTGGAGGCTGCCCACGTCTAGTCATGCCGGCTTGTTGCGGGCTTCGGAAGGGGTGCAGGTGGAGACGCGCTCCCGCGTGGTGTTTCTGGCGCGGGAGAAGCTGTTCTGGTCCACGCGGGCTCGGAAAGGCAGGCAAAACTCCCGGAAACACCTCTTGAAGTTTTCATCCAGGAAAGCGTAAAGGACAGGGTTGAGGCTGCTGTTGGTATAACCCAGGGCGATGCAGAAATGCAGGCTGGCCACCACGTAGGGGTTCTTCTTATCTATGTCCACCAGCGTCCAGACGATGACGAAGATGTGGATGGGCGTCCAGCAGATGATGAAGGCTGCCACCACCACCAGCACCATGCGCGTGATGCGTCGCAGGTTGCGGTCTTTCTCCTTGGAGCCCGAGAGGAGGCGGACGCTCTTCAGGCGAAGGATCATCAGCCCGTAGCAGATGGTGATGACCAAGATGGGGACCATGAAGGCAAAGATGAAGACGCAGATCTTGGTCACGGTGTCCCAGTAGATGGGAGGATCGGGAAACTGGAGCGTGCACAGCACCATCCCATCTGTGGGAGGGAAGACGGTCAAAGAGGGAGCTGGTGGAGCATCTGCTATAAATACTGTCTGCTTTCTGCTCGCTCATGGCTGGGCATGTCCGTGCTTGTTAAAAACACAAGGAGATGCGAGCCCACGTGCCAGCTCTTTGCAGAGGTTGCCCAGGGGCTTTGTGCCACCAGCCCCCTGCCCACGGGGTGCCGAGGAGATATGGTGGGTGCAGTGAGCCAGGGACTCGTTCCCTGCAGAGCCTCCTGGGCCATCCCCGTGCTGTCTCCTCCCAACCCCAGTGGAGGACACATCCCCACGTCACCTTCCACTGATACCCGTCCACTTCCTCAAGACGCCCAGAGCTTTCCTAGCAGCCAAGGGCTGGTGTCCTCACACGGGAGCTGCGGATCTTAGTGTGGGCCAGCTGGGGACTCTGTAATACCACTGGGTGTGTTTTTAGGCATCTGATTTGCACCCCAAGGAGCTGGGGAGAGGCACTGGTTAGACTGGAGATGGGGAAGTGGCGGGGACAATTTCTGGGACAGTTTCTAACCTCTGCAGCCACGATGGAAAATAACCCCGTGATGATTTTTCCATGGCATGGCATGCTTATGGTCCCATGGAGGGGTGCCCCTGGCTGAGCTCAAACCTGCTACTGGACCTGGGTTTGGATTTGCCAGGTCGCCCCTGGGATGGACAGATGGGACAGGAGGGGACCCTTCCCCAGAAGCCACTTGCCTTTTGACTTGGTGACCGCCATGGCCATGATGGGCACCCCGATGAGGGAGGAGAGCACCCATATGCAGACATTGATGATCTTGGCCTTGGCCGGTGTGCGGAAGTCCAGGGCCTTGACCGGGTGGCACACGGCGACGTAGCGGTCCACACTCATCATGGTGAGGGTGAAGATACTGGTGAACATGTTGTAGTAGTCAATGGAGAGCACGACTTTGCAGAGCAGCTCCCCGAAGGGCCAGGTCTCCATCAGATACTTGGCGCTCTGGAAGGGCAGCGTGCTGGTGGCCAGCGCGTCTGCCAGGGCCAGGTTGAAGATGTAGATGTTGGTGGCTGTCTTCATCTTGGTGTACCTGGGGGTGGCAGGGAAGGGAGCCGTTACAGGTGGTCAGGGCTGGCTTATTGCGCCCAACTACGTGTGGGCACACTCAAATTGAGGAGGAGTCACAAGGTGCCATCACCCTTGGTGGGCAACGGTATGTGCTCGTACGTGTCCTTCTGCAGCACCGATGTGCTCAGCGCCCTTCCAGATGGACCAGGGAGCATGTTGAGAAAGTACTTGTGTTTGTGGATGGTTTTAGTGTGTGTTGAAGTCCTGGTGCCTGAGCACAGGGTTGCACTCACATGTGCTGAGCTGGGACCTTATCGAGCACCTACAGAACACGGCTTGGACCCTGCTGACGCGGTTATCCCTTACCTGACCAGGGAAGTGACACTCATTGCCATGGCTGCCTTTATTCAAAGGAAATCTGAAGAAATTTTCAGAGAAGCCACTTCTCCAATTAAATCAATTTACTCCATTTCCCTGAATCAGTTGCACAATGTCCTTTACCTCCTGAAACCTCCTTTATCTGATTTTCCACCCAGTAAATCGTGATTATCTAGCTTGCTTCCCTGTCGAGTTTACTTGCAGAAATTGGATCGATTACCCCCGGAAACAGGCCATCTGGAAGCAGCCCAATTAGCCAGGCTAGAGCTCCAGAGCCTTTGGGGAAGCCTGGCTGCCTTGGCCACGGCACGTGGCTCAGGGGCACGGTGCCGCTTCCCCCGTGGCTGGCCTGCTGGCCCTGGTCCTTGTCACATCACTGTGAAGAGAAACACCCGGTCCCGAGTGGCGAAACCCTTCCTGGAGGGATGGGGCACAGTTTCGGTGGGTGCCAGGGCTGGTGGGGGTGGGCGCGCGTCCTCGGAGCAGCCAGCCCTGCAGGTGTTATTCAAGATGATGCTTTGAAAGGTGCGGCTGGTTTGAAATGGGTGCACACCCCTGCTGCCGAGGGGGCTGTCGGGGGTCCCCAAAGGGAAACAGGTTGGGGTTAGGTCGGGGTGTCTCTGCAGCAGCTAGACTGAGGTCAGGGCCACGCCAGTAGCTCAAACCCTTCCATTACACTCCCTGCCAGCAAGTCCCCATTGCTCGGAGCATCCTCCACAGTCCTGAGCTTCTTTATATGCACCCTAATTAATTAACAAACGTGTCAGTTTGAACACAAGCAGCTCCGTGCATGGCTAAACCTGCCTGTAGCATCCCTGGGGTGGGGTTGAACCCTAGACAGCACGGGGCTGAATTCGGCCCTGGTGCATGAGGGGAGACAACCTCTTGATTGGGGGGTGAAAAGATAATTGGCACAGGTCATGGAATAACCCCACGGTGTGACGGGGTACGTGGAGTAAATTGGGGTGAGGGGACTGAGTAGCTCCCATCTCAGATGCTTGTTGCTTTGCTGCCCTGGCTAGAGACCAGGAGGCGGGGTTGGTGTCGGAAAGAGGTTCCTGGACTTGATGGTAATATCTGTTCCCTCCACTTTATCCTTTTCTCCGTCTCAGCAGGGTCAGGAGAGCATGCCAGCGGGGACAGAGACCCACCGGGTTACGCTGTCAGTAGAACCGGGAGACAGAGGCTGCAAAAAACATTTCTCTCTGGGAGAAAATAACGTTCCCTTCTCATTCAGCTTGGCTGCAAATGGCAGTTCCTTGCCCAAGAGTGGAGATATTTGAGTCAAACATTTTTTAATTTTAAATATGGCATAAAAAAATGTCTTTTCCTTGAAAGGTCCTTTTCAGTTCTCTTTAGTGTTATTTTCCAAGCTCTTTTGCAAATGCATCTTTTAGAAAAGCTTCATTCCAGGTTAAACAAAAAGCTGAGAATTTGTGTCAGGTTTTGCCTCACCTAGTTGAAAAAACAGTCATTTAAGGTAGATTCACATGTCTTTGATCTCTGTTTTTTGAGAAAATTGGAAAAAATCAGTTATTCACTCCGTGTTCTGCCAGGCATGCTCAGCAGTGCTGGGTAAGCGCTTCCCCAACCCCCCAGCCAGATGTGCCGGGGGTTGGGGGGCTGGGGCTGGAGCCCCCTCCCCAGGCAGGATGGGGCTGTGCTGGTGAGGCCAAAGCAGCGATGGGGATGACTGGGATGACTAGGATGACATTTTAGCCCCTGGAGCTGGGGTTCCAGGGCAGGACTCAGCCCCCTCCAGGACTGGGCTGAGAGTCAAACCCACTGCACAATGTGGGGGGGCTCCATCCTGGTGATCCCCCCCCCCTCCCCCAAACCGCAAATGAGGCTGCTGCTCCAGGAAAGAGGTTTATCACCCGCAGCAGAGCGAACCGGCCGCTGCTGCTGCTGGAGCTCCCCGGGCTGCCAAACCCTTCGTAATTAAACAAGTGCCTTGATTGGGAAGTTATGCACTTGAACAAAACGATCTGGAAGGCGTCAACGGCGAGATGAGGCGGGAGGGGATGGAGCGAGCGCAGGGCGGCCGCATTGCAGCGGTGATGCCAGCACCCCGCTTCCCAGGCAGGGACCCCTTAGCTCTCCAAACCTCTTGGAAAATAAGCGAAAGAAATCACTTGCAAAACTCCTGGAGCTGCTAAAACCCACTGCCTTAAAGAACCCGGCTTAACATAATCCTGTGCCCAGCAAAGGGGTGCCCTTGCAGCCTTTGTGGGAGCTGGCGGGGGGTTGATGGGCTCTGCAGGGACGTGGGCACTCACAAGCCTGAGCTCGCAGCTGCAAATTGCTTCCAGGGGTATTTTTAAAAGAGCCTGACAATGCGGTGGTAATTGCAGCGCCGGTCTCCCATCAGAGCTGTCGGAGGATGCTGGGGAGGCTGAGCTCCCTCTGGGCACATGGCTGGGTTTTGGGTGCCCTGAGCACGGAGTGATTTGGGTTTTGGCTGTGCTGGGCTCCCTGGGGTGCTGGGTGCCTGGTCGGGGGAGCTCAGCTGGGGGCCGTGGAGCGGGCTCCTGCGTGTACCTGCTCCCTGGCACGCACGGGCTCTGCAGCATCCTCAGCGCTGCATCCCTCAGGACCTCAAGGTCCCCAAGCCCCACAGCCCTGGCAGCGAGGTCTGAACCCGAGCTGATCTCATTTCACAGCCCTATCCTGCATGGACACAGGTTTCCTCAATGGAGCCTACCTAGTCCTGGCCTAAACCCTGCCAAGGTGGAGCAACTCTGCCAACGAACCCCTGTGAAACTCCAGGCGGGCTCAGCCACGTGAGGGGCAAAGGCACACACTGGGCTCTGTGCGTGTCCGCAGCCCCTCCTGTCCCATTTATTCATTCCTTGGGAGATCTGTTTAATTCCAGCACCAGCTGGTGGGCCAGAAAATGGGGGACTAGAAACCACGGTGATGGGATCTGTGGATGCTGTAGTCAGGCTTTCTAAAGCGTGGCTAACATTAGGGTACTTAGTGAGTTAAACAGGGAGGATGTCGTTTGCACATTAAAGCTTTCTCTTTAAAACGCCTTTCCTCTTCTCATAGAGCAGAACCAGCTGGAGGGGGGTCTAATAACACTCATCCTTCACCATGACACTGTACATGGCATAAGTCACAGTTACCTTAATTTGGTTTTTTTTTTTTTTTTTCAGTTTAGGGCTGATTTTTTTAAAGCTGCTTCAAGTCGATGAAAAATCTCATCTGGTGCTGGGTAGGGTCAGTGAGTGACATCCCCCATCCCGCTCCCCATCCACTCACCCTCTCGCATGGTTAAAATCACACAGCACAGCTACCCAAAGAGGGGGGAATCAGGCGTAAGGGTGATGGGCAGCCCGGCACGGGCACATTTCAGGCTGGTTTCCTTCCCCTTGGTGAGTCACCACATTTATTTCATGCTCAGGCAGCGCCGGGCCATGCTGACCTCCTGTAACGATCGCTATGGACTGAAACTGCTGGGGAAGGGCGAATTGAAATGGTTAAAAATGGGGATTTGGGGACTTTGCCCAAATCCAGCCGCAAATCCTGGCCCTGGCTGAGGCTACCGCAACCCCCGGGGCGATGGGAATTGGGATTAACACCATGAACCTTGGGTCCCCCCAGGACAAGCACCCCTTGGTGCAGGAGGGGGGTGCTGTGAAGCCCAGGCATCCAGAGAGACTTCTGCTCCCTCTTGCCAGGCTGGAAGCGGTGGGGTCTCTGTGCTGTCACCGACAGCGGTGTGACAGCTAGCACGGCTCCTGCCACTGCTGCTGGCGGGGCCTGGGAGCCACGGAGGGCTCTGCCAGCCCCCGCTGCCGGCGGGGGTCCCGTGCTCCGTGACATTTCTTGTCCCATATTACCAGCAGCCTTGGCCACGTCAACCCACCTTACCCAGCCAGGAGCAACCGGCGTCTCGGACAAAGGGGCTGCTCGTATGGGCAGGAAACTTTGCGCCCTGGCACAAGCACCGGGGTGGGTAGAGCAGCATCTTGCCGTGCCCCATCCCCTGAAAAGGGGAGCATTGGGGTCCTGTTGCTTGTCTTGGGGTGCAGAGACCCAGCAGACCCCCTCCCCACCCAGGGAAAGACTCGGCAAAGGTGCCTCTGCCAGCCAAGGTCCTGCCCTGGCACTGGCTTTGCCACTGCAGTGCTGGACGGAGCCAAAGAGGGGTTCAGGGTCCCCCTGGGACATGAGCGGGTTTCTCTCTGCTGCTGGAGCTGGTACCTCGTGTCGGGGGGCCGGGGGACAGCTCGGCCGTGGTGCGAGCTGAGGCTGGGCGATGCGGCTCCTGCTCTTTGTTAGAGAAAAAGCAGGAGTCGGCCGGCTGCGGGAGGTGCCGACGGCACGAACGTGAGCTCACGATGGAGCTGGGAATGGGCTGGGGTGAGCAATTTGTGCTCTGAGCACCTCGGCTCCCAGAGATGGAGAGGGGGGGGCATCAGTGGGATGCTTGTCCTGGGGGGACCCAAGGTTCATGGTGTTAATCCCAATTCCCATAATCCCCATCCCCTCTCCCCCGGTTGCAGGGTGGGTGCGCGGGGGCCCCGGGAGCCTCCCTGTGAACAGGGCAGCTCTTAGAGGTGACATTTGTGGGTTGGAAATAAATACCCGGCCAGGCTCTCGCCTCTCCCAAACTGCAGCGTGCCCACCCCTGCGGCTCCTCTTCCCCCCACGCCAGGGCGAGGAGCACACGGCTGTGGGGGTCGGAGTGTGTCCCCCAGCTTCTCCCTCAAACACCGGCTCCCCTGCACCCCCCGTGCTGCTCCGGGCGCACTCAGTCTTTGCTTTTTCCTCTGGCACAGCATCTGGGACATCCCCCCCCCCCCAACCTCACGCACGTGTGTGTGCTCGCACACGCGCTGTTCACACGCACATCACACCCGGCGGGTACACTCACCTCGGTGCTACCTGCTCACAAGCGCCCGGTGCGCACCCACCCTCGCTCCTGCTGCCCTCTCACACCCAGCTCACACTCACACCCAGCGCACACCCGCTCCTGCTGCTGTTTCACCCCTGGTGCACACTCACCCCTGGTGCACACTCACGCCTGGTGCACACTCACTGCTGCTGCTGTCCCACACCTGGTGCACACCCAGTCCTGGGACACACTCGCTCCTGCTGCTGTCTCACCCCTGGTGCACGCTCACCCCTGGTGCACACTCACCCCTGGTGCACACTCACGCCCGGTGCACGCTCACTGCTGCTGCTGTCCCACACCTGGTGCACACCCAGTCCTGGGACACACTCGCTCCTGCTGCTGTCTCACCCCTGGTGCACGCTCACCCCTGGTGCACACTCACCCCTGGTGCACACTCGCCCCTGGTGCACACTCACGCCCGGTGCACGCTCACGCCCGGTGCACGCTCACTGCTGCTGCTGTCCCACACCTGGTGCACACCTAGTCCTGGGGCACACTTGCTTCTGCTGCCGTCTTGCACCTCGCGCATGCCGCACACTCACACACACACACACCCCCCCCCGGTGCACACTGGCTCCGGCTGCCATCTCCCACTCGAGGCACACTCACCCAAGGTGCACAACCCACGCCCCCCCCGTGCACGCTCCCTCTCACCCCCAGCCCTCCCCACGCCCCCTCCCCGCCGTGGGGTGCCGCCGGGGCGCCCCGCTCTCACCTGACGATGCCGTACATGACCAGGACGTTGCCCAGCAGCCCCACCACGCACACCACGGAGTAGAGCGCGGTGATGACGATGGCGATCAGGATGGAGGTGGCGTTCTTGGCCCGCTGCGGCCCCGTGTCGTTGACCCCGTGGCCGGGCAGGGGGGCCCAGGCGGTGCCGTTGCCCCACGCGGTACCGGCAGCCGTGGGCAGCTCCGTGGGCAGCTCCATGGCCCGCGGGTGGCCGTGGCCCCGCCGTGGCCGCCGGGCGCATCCGAGCGCCGCCGGTTCGAGTCCCGCTCCCGCCCAGCGCCGCCGCCTCCCGCACCCGCGGCGGCGGGGTGGGGTGGGGGGGTGGGGGGGACACCCACGCTTTATAAACCCGCCGTGTCCCCCGAGCCACGTGGGGCCGGGGGCGGCCCTGCCCGCCCGCCTGCCCCCACCCCTGCCCGCCTCCCACCTCCCTGCCTTCCCTTCCCGGCTTCCTGCCTGCTTGCCTACCCCCCCGCGCTCCCGATCCGTCCCGTCCCCCCCCCCCTCCCGGCCCTGCCCGCTTTCCTTCTCTCCCCGCTCCCCCCGCACCGTGCTTGCCCTTCTCCCCGCGACAGGTCCTTGTCACCTTCCCCCCATCCCTACCTGCCTATCTCCCCCCAGATCCCTGCCTGCGTCCCCCCCCAACACTGCCAGACACCCCACCCCCCCCTCAATCCCTGCCTCCCTTCCCACCACCCAGGTCCCTACCTGCATCCCATCCCTGCCTCTCCCCCATCCCCACCTGCCTTCCCCGCCCCAATCCCTGTCTGTCCCCCCCTCCCCGTCCCCCGGGTCCCTGCCTGCCGCCCACCCCCGGAGCCGGCGAGGGCTGCGGGGGCGGCCCCCAACATCCCGGGGGGGGCCCTGGGATTGAGGTGGGGGGCGGTGTATCTCGGCGCTATGGCTGTTTCGGGTTTTCTTTGTCTGGAAAAAGCGGGGGACAAACAGTCTCCTTGTCCCCAAAGCAAAGGTGGGATCTCTCCGATTCCCGCCCCCCCCCGCCGGTGCTTTTCTTCCCCCTCCTCCTCCTCTCCCCTTGTATGCTATGAGGTGGGGGTTTTGGGGGCGCTGGGTGGATTTGGGGGATGCTGAGGAGGTTTGGAGGGATGTTGCAAGGGGATTGGGGGGGATGCTGAGGGATGGAGGCTTGGGGGAGGGAATTGGAAGGATGCTGTTGGGGGGGTCTTTGGAGGGATGTTGGTGGGGCAGGGGGCATCTGGGGGGTTGCTGTGGTGGGAGGGGTTTGGGAGGGGATGCTGAAGAGGGACTTGGGTAGCAATGCTGGGGGGGCTTAGAAGGGATATTGGGAGGGGGATAAGGAGGGGTGCTGGTGCAGGGTGAGGGATTTAGGGGGATGCTATAGGTGGGTGTGCAAACACAGACCCAGCAACACCACCTGCTCAGCAGAGCTGGGCTTTGTGGGCTGCTGAGGGTCACCCTCCCCTTACCAAGGATGCTTACCTTGGGGCAGGACCCCCCTCTGGCAGGTCCCCCCCTTTCAGGGTCTGCAAAGCAGAGAGGTGGGAGCCTTATTTTTCCTGGAGACCCAGCTGATGTGGGGGCTGTGGGAACCCATATTTGGGGTGTCTCCATCACCTCTTCACTTTGGGGATGGATTCATTCATTGCCCTGTGCCCTGGGACAGATCTGGCTCATCCACAGAGGATGGTTTGCTGCAATTTTGGGTGCTTTTGGCTCAGGAGGGACAGAGCAGGGGGGATAGGACATGGAGGAAAGGCCAGCAGCTGGTTCAACCCTGGAGATGGGGTTTTCAGGCTGCGTAGTGCTCTGCCAGCATAAAACTCCTGCAGTGTCGAAGCATCCAGATATTTCATCAAGAGCCTCATAAAAATGCCTAGGAGAGAATTAAGAGCTTTTCATTCATCTGACAGTTCAGATGGTAAACAGCTCCTTGGCCACTGACTGAGGAGGCAGCAACGATGTGCGGTGGGTTTCTGCCATCACGGAGCAAGGGGTTTGGTGACAGTGCTCCTGGCTTTGTCCCGGAAGGCTGCTGGGAGGGGTATGGGCAGGAATTGGGAGCAAAGGGATGGCTTTAATGTTCTATAATCTGCCTTGGGTCCTGCACTTTGCATCCTCATGCAATGCATCAGCCTTCTCTGCCTGGAGCGTGTTTCCATCCCGTTCCTGTGATGGTTTTGCAAGGGGGCACGGAAAGCCCAGGCGGGGCATAGGGCTGAGCCCTGCGTGTGGGGGTCCTCCAGGACACGGGGTTTAAACACCTTCCTGGGGTGAAAACAGCCTCCCAGGCCCAGAGCAAGGTGGCGAGTCTCTGCTGTGCACAGCTCTGACGCAGTCTGGCTGCCGATCGCTCCCGGTGGGAGGGAAACGTCAGGTCGGGGAGTGCAAAATAGCTTTTAGCGTGGCTGGGGAGCTCTTTGGAAGAGGGCTCATTCCTTCGCCTGGCTCCCGGCATGGCCGGAGAGCCCACACTGACCCTTTTCCCAGGGGTTATCTGCAGAGGACTAATCATCCTGGCAGGTTCCAGCAAACACGTCCTCTCGGCTCAGCTCTGGCATTTATTTATTTTTTTCAGCTGGAATGTTAAAAATAAACACAGCGGATACATAAAACAAATGGAAAATCTTTAAAGGGCTTTGCTGCTCATCTGCCTGCATTCAGTTGCTGCTCCGCCTGCCGAGCCAGGCTACTGCCATGGATGTAGTTTCCAAAATTGGGGAAACTGAGGCAGGGAGGTCACATCAGAGGGGAGAGCATCACCCCATAGCGGTGCACGGAGCCTGAAGACCGTGCACGCAGCAGGCGAAGGGGAAGCGATGGCTCCCACGGATCCTGAGCCCCATCGCTGGTGCTGGTCAGTCCCCAGCCAGGAGTGAGGGTGCCCGGGCAGCCGGCACCTCTCTCTGCACCCTGAGTTTTATTGGTGCTACTTTGTCTTGGCTTGAGTCCTGCTCTCCTAGAGGGAGTGCTCCTCTTCAAAAGTGCTCCATGGCATTGCCTCAGTTTGTCGTGGCAGACACCGTTGCCATTATTTGCCTTTTAAAATCAGCATCAATCACTCCCCCATGCACCATTAATCCCTTCAGGGTACTTACTTGATTGTCCTATCAATAATTCACTTAGTCCTTGTCCGATGGGGCCCCATGCTTCTCCAGGCACCTTATACGCTGCCGTTGTAGTTAGTGTCACGGTGCAGGAGGTGGGTACATCCACCCCAGCTGACCCCCTGGTCCTTCCCCATAACTGGTCACAAAGGCTTGTGGTTCCGCCTGCGGCCTTTGCAAGGCCCAAGGTGCCCTTTGAGGGGTCATTTGTGTCTACACGCGTCCCCTCGCGGTCTTCTTGCCGTTTCCCGAGCCCAACGGTTGCCCGTTTACATGAAACTGAGATTTACACTGCTTTGCAAAGTGCCCTGTCTTTCCACATCTTAAACAATTTACAGTTCCCATTGCTTGTAAGGACTGCAACTGACCCCCTTTTTTGTTTTTATTAGGACACTCGGCTTTTCGGTGGCCAGCCTTGCCACAATTAAAACATTTCTGGTTCTCCAACTGGAGAACCGACAAGGCTGTGGCAAGTTCTGACATTTTATATTTTACTGACCCTACTTTCGCACAGGCAGTGACCATGTCCTCTATAGTTGGATCACCTGGCATAGCTTCAATAATCTTTCGACAGTCCTCATCTGCATTATCACAAGCTAGTTGCTTTACCAGCATCTGTTGCAAAGTGGGCTCATAAACTTATTTTTCAACAGACGCCATTATTTTTTCTACAAACGACAGAAATGGCTCTTAGGGCTCCTGCCTTACGGTAGTATATCGCGGTTTTGGCTCCAAAAGTTCCACAGTCCTCATAATAGTCTCCATACCTATCGCTTTCACTTGTTCCAACACAAGCAGATGCCAGCGGGCTTGTGCCCGGGCATCACAATGCTGCCCTAATCCCATGAGTGCTTCCGTTCCCACCCCAATTCTAGGGTCCTGATGGTCTAACTGCAAGTTTTTCACTGTCTGTACATCAGCGTGCTGCCTCCAAATGTTGTGAAATACCTGCGTTTTGCACTGGCTGAAATATAATTTGCGCAAGTTGACTTATGTCCAAAGGGACCAACTCATCAGTGGCTACCAAACGTAATAATTGCATGACTGCAGGAGAATTTGGACCATGCTGGGTAGCAGCCTTCTGTAAATCTTTTTATTGCTTTCCAGGCAAATGCAACATGCTCTGTATTGGAAACTCCAAGGGCCCCATGGACACTTTTTGGAGCGTAATGCGACTGTCTCGCAATCCAGATGTCTGGATAGCCTCAGATAAGTCCCAATTCCCCCCCTCCATGGCTCACTTCTTCACCTCCTTCCAAAAACTAGCAGGGTCTCTGGGGAGGACCGTTAGCTCGGCAGGAGGTAACGTCCAGGGCCAAGGAGGCCCATGGCACCTCACTCCATCTCTTAAGGGTGTCTTCAAATCAGCTGGTTGGGGTTCCTCATCATCCCCCCCCAGTCATCTCCCGGTCCTTCAGGTGATGGGGGGGCACCCCTCGGATTTCCCCCCCACCAGAAGGTTCTGCATGACCCTATTTTGCTAGAGGAGGATACAGTTCATTACCCGTATCCCGAGGACGTAGATATTGCTGAGGCTCTACAGTCTCATCGGGCCACATAGATTTCTGTGGTTCCGCAGCGCCAGTCAATTTTGAGGGGGTGTCTTTTTTATCAAGAAAGGGGTTTGCTGACCCCATGGCTATCGCTGTTTTTTCCAATCTGTCCTTTGTGTCACTGTTGCTGTTATTAATTATTTCGGTCTCATCTTGCTTTTGCTTAAGAGCTTTTAAAGTCTCTAATAATCATCACCATGTAGCTAAAAGTCCTAACGCTTCCTTGTCACCCCGCGTTGCGCTGTCTATTAACTTTTCTCCTGTTTTCTCCCATACTGTTACGCTGAAGGCAGTTTCAGTGGATGCTGGCACTCCATTACATTTTCCCCATGCAAGCATCCTCTGTAACATTAATTTGTCCATTTTTAGTCCCCGCTTTTTCGATATTGCTTTCCATATGTTCATCACACTAGCCTTCTCTTCCGTGAGTGTCGTGCCCGTGTTCCCAGTGGCTCACCTGGTACGTTAGCTGTCAATTATCAGTCCGTGGATTTAGCAGCTCCACCGCTGCTCTCAGCTTCACCAGCCTCCGTCTCCACTGCACACCCAGCAGTCAGCCTTTCTCAGTGTTCTGTTTATCACGTCGGGGTCACCAATTGTCGCAGTCGAGACGGACAAAACTACAAGACAGATTCTTTTTTAAAGCAAGCTAACTCAAAAGCCTTTGTTGCTCTCCTCCTTTGTTCCTTTATACTCTTCCTACAGGGTGT